GCAATGCATCACGGGCTTTCATCCAGGGAATACGCTTCGGTAAGTAGCTGAGGTTTTCCTGAGTTTTACTTTGAACAGTTTTTGCTGTTGCTTTATTTTTCGGAATCTACAGCAGCTGAAAGTCCAAGCATGGAAAAGAAAGGCATTGGTTAGGTCTGAGTGGAAGGAAGTAGTGAGGCAGGCCAAAGCCCTACATGGGCTGTAGCGCCACAGGGATGGATTTATTTTTCGGAAGCGACATCAATTCGGAGCAGACGAGTTTGACTTGTACGATTGGAGAGCACGATTTTGTCAAGAAGTTACAAGTCAAATATTTGATTGTTGGAACCATCGCGACATGTTTCTGCACCCCTGGCTTGACTTATTAAATGTGAATTGATTGTTTCTCTTTTTGTCTGTATGTGCCTACAGCCCGGGAGTCGTTTAAAGAAAATTTGCAACATAAATAATTGTTTTCTCTCTTGCGCTTAAAGTTGTTGGGTGGGATTTTTTTTTAACCCCTTACTCCTTAAATAGATTTTGTTTAAGCAGACAATTAATCCCATTTGAAAGGAAAAATAAAAATATATAGAAAAACTAAATTAAAAAATGCCGTTCAATCTATTTAAACAGAGACTGCACTTACAAAGAGAAAATTATAAAAATAATCATATTACAAAAAGGTTATAGAATCAAGCAATTTTTTAAATAAAAAAATGTCACTAAGAATAATTCTTTTTCGATAAAAGTAAATGTTATATTTGAGGGCGTTTGATCAAGTCAGTTTGCATAAAAGATCCAAGAGAAAAGGGTGCGCCACAGCCCAAGATGATACCGAGTAGGGTACCACCAGAGCTGGGTCTCACAAGAGCAAGCAGGCAGACTCGGCAGAGGTCCACGAGGGAGTCTGGTAGAGCCCAAGTGACGCCACAGAGCAAAAGACGTGAAAATAAGCAAGTTACCAGACCACCAGTGGTCACAAGTAGCCGGGCGCATTTCTTCATTACTTTGGCCAGAAGAAAACTATTTCGTCAAAAAAGGAGCGCACTTTTAGTAAAGTTTAATTTACGTCTATTGGACCTTCAGTAACACCACAATATTTTTTATCTTGACCCCATTTGGGTGAATTTTCTATGCTTCACCTCCCATTTCAATAATGAATTTTCTATGCTTCACCTCCCATTTCAATAATGAGATGTTCGTTATTTTATTAAACGTATTTCGGGAAAAAATTAATCCCTATGCATTGTAAGATGCACATTTTCTTTTTCAATAATGACCTTCAAATCCCCTCCTTCCCCCACCCTTTTTTTGTCCGTCTAAAATAAAAATAAAAGACTATTATCATAATAATCGCGTTGAATAATCATTGAGCATCTTCAACGTAAACCCCAAAACAGGAATCGATATCTACGATGACTGCTACTCCGAGTACCTGGCGGCACGACACGCTGGAGCCATCGCCTCGTACATCCTCGGGAACAATGAATGTGATGTGCGTGCCGAGGCTTCACAATCCCGGCCCCCCATAGCTGGTGAGTAGTGTTAACTGTTACACCCAGTTCACGCGAGAAAATTTTGGTCAATTTTTTTTAAAATGAACGCTCCATTTTACACGCACAAAAATAATGCGTTCATTCAAAAATTTTGATGAAAATGTGACGAACATTTGATCGTGTCAACTGAACATTTATCGGTGCCTTTTGTTGAAGACCGCAAAATGGTTGGCAAGCAGTAGTTTGTGTAGGTTTTAGTGCGCTCGTTTTTAATTCCCGGCTCCTTGAAAGGGACCAGATGTTTTTAAGTAGGACAGCGATGAGGAGAGATCCGTTTTCCACCCTTTTCCAGATTTTATTACTAGTAACTTTGTTATGATGCAGACATGTCTGGATTTCAAAGTTAGGAAATATACCCTCATCCGATTGTCTGTGCCGTTATTTGTATACCAAACTTGTTAATACAATAAGAATCATATTTTTTTCCCTGCGCATTTAAGACTAGATTTTCAAAAAAATATACTTTATTGTTTTTGTTGTTGGTTATTCATTATACACAGTAACACACGCACACACACACACACACAAACATGAAACGTTTCTAGGTCCAAACATGTTGAAATAAAGAAGACCGAACTGGATCATGTAGTCCAGGAACTGAACAACATACTTGAACAAACTTCACTAAATTTCTTCTCAGACTGAACAATCCGTATATTAAAGTCTTTCATGTCTTTTAGACCTACGTGTGCCTTATTAAAGTCTTTCATTTCTTTTAGACCTACGCGTGCCTTATTAAAGTCTTTTATGTCTTTTAGACCTACGTGTGCCTTATTAAAGTCTTTCATGTCTTTTAGACCTACGTGTGCCTTATTAAAGTCTTTTATGTCTTTTAGACCTACGTGTGCCTTATTAAAGTCTTTCATGTCTTTTAGACCTACGTGTGCCTTATTAAAGTCTTTCATTTCTTTTAGACCTACGTGTGCCTTATTAAAGTCTTTCATGTCTTTTAGACCTACGTGTGCCTTATTAAAGTCTTTTATGTCTTTTAGACCTACGTGTGCCTTATTAAAGTCTTTCATGTCTTTTAGACCTACGTGTGCCTTTTTAAAGTCTTTTATGTCTTTTAGACCTACGTGTGCCTTATTAAAGTCTTTCATGTCTTTTAGACCTACTTGTGCCTTATTAAAGTCTTTCATGTATTTTAGACCTAGCCTGTGCCTTATTAAAGTCTTTCATGTCTTTTAGACCTACGTGTGCCTTATTAAAGTCTTTCATGTCTTTTAGACCTACGCGTGCCTTATTAAAGTCTTTCATGTCTTTTAGACCTACGTGTGCCTTATTAAAGTATTTCATGTCTTTTAGACCTACGTGTGCCTTATTAAAGTCTTTTATGTCTTTTAGACCTACGTGTGCCTTATCAAAGTCTTTCATGTCTTTTAGACCTACGTGTGCCTTTTTAAAGTCTTTCATGTCTTTTAGACCTACGTGTGCCTTATTAAAGTCTTTCATGTCTTTTAGACCTACGTGTGCCTTATTAAAGTCTTTCATGTCTTTTAGACCTACGTGTGCCCTATTAAAGTCTTTCATGTCTTTTAGACCTATATGTGCCTTATTAAAGTCTCTCATGTCTTTTAGACCTACGTGTGCCTTACTTCTCCACGATGTCGAATCGGTAGATACTAAGCCCCACTCTTGGGGTCGGTTCGGGGAGCGGGTCTTTTTCGGCTGTGCTGTACACCATAAGGATCATAAATACATGACGTCACAATTCTTTAGCGGAATTTTGACCACCACCATCTACTTCCTTGTCCATCGTTACAAAAGTTTAAAAAAAATTGCTCACCCTCATCACTCCTCATCACTCATCATCACCCATCATCACTCACCATCAGTCATCATCACTATCATCGCGCATCATCACTCATCATCACCCATCATCACTCATCATTACCCATTCGCGATCCAACTTTATCCGTAAACTCGTGACCCCCATCTACGGATGGCTCCAGTATCTGAAAGTGGTCGTCTTGCCTCCCCCCGGGTAAAACCTTGAGGGCAGGAAGTCAACAATCGGTCGATACAAAAAAGCTGACAGTTGATCTCCATTTCCCATCAGCAAACATAACTTTAAAAAAAAATAGATATCACACGTGTTTCCTTTGTATTCCATCTATTCCTTATTGGGTTTCCAGTTTAATTTTAAGGTCTTCATAAATTATGGAAATTAATTAATAGTATCGTAGTTCATTCTTCAAAGAAAACAGTGAATTTTTAAGGGAAAAAACCCTAATGTATTCTGTTTTGTAGTGTGATAAGTTATCGTTTTCATTTGTTACAGTACAAATTAAAGAGCCATCCTTTTTGTTTAGCTTAACACCATTCTGTACACCGTTCTGTACACGTTCTGTACATCGTTCTGTACAACGTTCTGTACACCGTTCTGTAAACCGTTCTGTACACCGTTCTGTACAAAGTTCTGTACATCGTTCTATACACCGTTCTGTACACCAATCTGTACAACGTTCTGTACACCGTTCTGTATCGTGGGTCAGATTTATCTAGATTTGTTGTTTTACCATTTTCTAATAAATAATAAGTGCAATTTGCAAAAATTGCATGCCTTGCTAGATATGGACTATTTGTCTTCAAACGGATCCAGTTTGGTTTCCCTGAAAGATCTTATATCACACAAAAATAAAGCTTTAGCGTCCATATTGGGTTCGTGGTACGTATACATCAGGTAAACGGTAAAGACTTATGTCAAAGATTTACTTTGAGCTTGATGCAGCGTTTTATTATTGTTGTGTATTTCTGGATACAATTGAGGAAAAGGAAGTGTCTTTCTTAAAGCAAGTGTATATTGTGGATTTAAAGAAGACATTTTATTTCGTAAATTTTCCATATTGCACTTTTGAATATTTGAAATTTTCTATTTAAAAAAATAAATAATAACGAATCTCTGTATACTGATGTTAAGTAAAATTAAAAAAAAGTTCATCAACTGTCCCACCATCAAGAGCGCCAGAACAATCATACGTTGAGAATTTGATGTTACCTAGGTGAGAGGATATTTTATTTATTTGAATGTAGAACCTGTTTCAAAGCTGTTTACGGGTTATTCAAAATTGTTGTGGATCGTGTGAATAAGCTTAGAGATAAACCGCCAAGCAAAAGCGGCGGCAATGTGTTTGACACCCCATCTACCTAATAAGTCACCAGACTTGCATGTGTAACACACCTTACAAGAATCCAAATGTGTGCTAACTTCTGGGAATTTTATTTTGCGCGCCTGTCAATACAGTATTAAGCAACGCATAAATACATACCTAGAGGATTATTATTTGTGAGAAAAAGAAGAGCGCATCAATAAGGAAGAAATAGCAACGATATTCCAAAAATTTGGGATATCGATAATGAACATTTCTAGAGCTAGAAATAATATGATCTGTACTAAAGAAAAACAGATACGATTGTGATATCCAGGGTTTAAAATTTTATTTCATTTCCATTTTTTTTCAAGCTCTTCATTTAACAAGGAATACGGTACTCTCAGTTCTAGGGCCTTTTTATCGCGGCCTCGCGTGGGTGTCAAGATTAGGGCCATGTTAGGGGCCTAGTTTTAGGTTCAGGGTTCTCGGGTTCTGCATGATCAAAGTCGTAATAATCAGGGCCAGGCTTAGGTTTAGGCTCACGGGGTATGCCCTGAGGAACAGTTATGGATTCGGATCATTAATCATAATCGTTAAAAATCAGGGGCATCGTCTTCACTGTATGGTGCTGGGGAAGCTACAACGTTAACAAAGATTTAACGAAATATCGGGTCCGTGGTACATTTACGTCACATCTCTGTAGCCGTGGCTTTGCTGGTGGTTTTAATGGTAGTTTTACTGGTAGATTTAGGGGTAGTAATCACCAGTATCGGGGAAAAGTGTTGGGGTAGTTTTAGAAGTGGTTTTTCGGGTAGTTTTAGGGGCAGATTTAGGTGTAGTATCATTATTACCAATAGTGGTTTCTTCAGGGGCAGGTGCAGGAAAAGCGTTAGAGGTGGTTTTTTCGGATAGTTTTAGGGTTAGTTTTAGAGGTAGGTTAAGAGGTATTATCATCAGTGTCGTCATTAGTTTCTTCAGGGACAGGTGTAGTGGTAGTTTTAGAGGTGGTCTTTCGGGTAGTTTTGCGTGTAGTTTTAGTGGTAGTATCATCATTGTCAGCAGTGGATTCTTCAGGGACAGGTGTAGTGGTAGTTTTAGAGGTGGTCTTTCGGGTAGTTTTGCGTGTAGTTTTAGTGGTAGTATCATCACTGTCAGCAATGGTTTCTTCAGGGACAGGTGTAGTGGTAGTTTTAGAGGTGGTCTTTCGGGTAGTTTTGCGTGTAGTTTTAGTGGTAGTATCATCACTGTCAGCAGTGGTTTCTTCAGGGACATGTGTAGTGGTAGTTTTAGAGATGGTCTTTCTGGTGGTTTTACGTGTAGTTTTAGGGGTAGATTTAGGTGTGAAGGTAGATTCCACGCAAAACGGGAGGTTGTTCAGCACGATGCATCGGCTGCCGTCGGGACACTCATAGTTCAAACAGGCGTACACGTCATCAACTGTGGACAAGATTGTATGGTATTATGGAAGGCGCTATGAACGCTTAATATCTGCTTGGAAAATGTGTGCTCACCCAAATAGTTTCCAACAGCTTTTAGAAAGTAACTGAAGCAAAAAAACAACAAAAAAAAAACAACAAAAAAAAAAACAACAACAAACAACAGTTTCCATTGATTTCAAAACATTCCAAAACAAAAACAGATGGCTTTAAAAACCCATACTGGGCATGCTAAAAGACACTGCATTTAATATGCTTAAAGAAACTGCACTGTATATTCTAAAAGAAAATGTAATGTTTATTTTTTTTCATTAAATGCAGTATCAATTAATTAAGTTATATTAAAGCAAACGAATAAGAGAAAAAAAAAGAAAGACCACTTTATTTCCATAGGCCCTTTTGTTCCCATTAGCTGTCAAGTACTTAAAACATGATTTTTAAAAATTTCTTTTTTTTTTAAAATCTACAATAGAAAGTATTTCACGTAGTGTATCTGTCATAGAATTTCAAGTAAGAAACTTAATTTTTTTTTTTTTTAAACTTTTTGAGTCAGTCATTGCAAACTTACATTTTCTGTCGCATCTTTTACCACGAAAACCCTCAGGGCAGACACATACGGGTCCGTCATCGCTAATTTCACACGTGGCATCGTTGAAACAAACGTATCTGTCACATGGGTCTATAAACTCTGTATAAACAGATAAAATATATATAGTATTTGTAATACACTTGTATATTTTAAAATTAATTTTATAGCTGAATCCGAAACCCTCTGTAATTATTTGTATCTTCCTTCCTCCTTAGCCCCCCCCCCCTCTCTCTCTCTCTCTCTTCCACGTTCATACTATTTCTTTCCGACTGTCACATGGGTCTATAAATTCTTTATAAACAGATAAAATATATATAGTATTTGTAATACACTTTTATATTTTAAAATTAATTTTATAGCTGAATCCGAAACCCTCTGTAATTATTTGTATCTTCCTTCCTCCTTAGCCCCCCCCCCCTCTCTCTCTCTCTCTCTTCCACGTTTATACTATTTCTTTCCGTCACTCCCCCTCTCTCACTATCTCTCACATGCTCTCTTTCTCTTCGTTTCACTACCGTAATCTCTGTACGTCTTTTCATCTCACAATTCCTCACTCTTAATCTCATTCTCTTTCCCTCCTTCGACTTATCCTTTACACAGAAGTCATAAAATAATTGGCCGACTGTTATTTACCCCCTAAGCATATATGTCAGGGGGTCTCAAACTCGCTGGCCATTGGACACCTTCAAGACGATATTTTTTCGACCTGATACCTGACAGCAAAGTTTAGTGTTAATTACTGTCAATGCAGCCCGTGCGTTTTCCCCATTCTCATATCTATAACGCAACGGTTTCAGTCGAATCTCACCTTCTAGTCTAATTCTGATTTTTATTATGTTTGTATACGTTTGGCGTTGATTATAATGGTAAAAAAAAGTTTCAAAATTTGACTAAAATGTTTTTATTTTATAAAATTTAATGAGACAACCAAGAGCGGTTTTGAGAAAACTTTACGAATATATATATATATATATATATATACAGTTTTAAAAAGTCTGTTAGTAGGTAAATCACAACCATAGTTTTTTTTTAAAAATCGTAGCAATCTAAAACAGTGGATGCAATCAGAGGATGCCTTTTAAAATTGCCGCTAGTGTATACACGAGTGACGAGAGAGAGAGAAATTCCGAGATTGCAGCTTGGTCACTTTCAAAATAAGGTTAGTCAAAAAGGCCTTTTCTACGATAAAAAAAAAAATCAAAATTCATTCTCCCTACAATAGCATTTTCCTTCGCATCAATAATAACTATTGCCTGCTCGTATCTTTGGTTTGAACACGTTTTAGTTTTAAAATCGATGTGGGAATCACTACATTTTAAATTTAATTTAGGCTTTTTCGTCTTTGTTAACCTAAGCTCATTATTTTCATAGCATTTAGAAGCTGAATATTTTACTTCAGATCACCGGAGATTTTATTTTCTTGCTAAGGATATAATGCTGTTAACATAGATACGCGCCGGGGCTACGTGTGGAGTTTAAGGGTGACGCGATGTTCAATATTGGAAATTTAATGTCTTTGTCTAATTTTTGGATCAAACTAGCATAAGTTTGTGCAGTGATTTGTTATTGATTTAGTCAAAATTAGATACAGATACCATTGCAAAGCTACTGTAAGAATTTGATCACAGGTTTGAAGACTTCAAAACATGCAGAGTCATTTTTCAAATACTTTCTGGCCCCTTCCCCTCCAATGTGGAAGAACCCCCCCCCCCCCCAGCTGATTGATCTTTAGTGCAATTCTGAACTCAATGCTCAGGGAGGTGAATGGAAAAACAGACAAAGAGTGGAGAATATAATAAGAGAAATGCCCTCCAACTTCCCTGAGATTTCCAGATTGTTGAAGCGGTTCATGTGCCTTTTAGGGAGTACCCATCCTTGTGAAAAGCTCTTTTCTACTATGACCTTTCGCAAGAAAAAGTTCAGGGCCAAACTTACTGATGAACATCTTCAAGCTTTACTGGGGGTCTCAGTTGCTTCCTCACTCAAGCCAAATGTTGCTGAAATGTGTAAGAAGAAGCGTTGCGAGGTCTCTGGCAACGAGGAGTAGGAGGAAGTATTCAAAGCCTAATTCTTGAGAATCCTTAAAGTTTTTATTGTTATTAAAAAAGGTTGAGCTAATTGTAGCAGTAGTACTTTTTTTTAATGGAATCGCTTTTTTGTGTAGAATACTTAATGCCACCCAGCCTCACTCAGACGCTGCCTCCTGCGGCCCCCGGATAATTTTAGTTTGAGACCCTTGATGTATGCAGAAACCTCATTACTCACTTATATCGTCACATTCTATCCCTTGGTAGTTCCGTGGACATTTGCATACGGCCTTGCCTCCCTTTAGTCTACACACGCCTCCATTTTGACAGTCTAGGTCATCGCACGGGTTTCCTGAAATTTAAAGACGGTTTGAAACGGAAGTTCGAGATTGACATAAGAGCAATTTTATTTTATGGAACAATAAATTACGATTCAAAAAGATGATATTTAAAAAAAAAAATATATATATAATATAATTTTTAAATAAACATTTAACTGAACAACTAAACGAATTACTTATATTGTATTTTTTGTTATCAAGGACTGCGTTAAGAATAAGAGAAATAAGAAGTCTTGTTATGTTTCCTGCAAAACACAATAACTTATTTGAAAAAAAAACGTTTAGCATACAGAGTTTTAAGCAGATGTCTTTGTCTGCTCTTACTGCTCTGCTTGCAACCACGACCATGAAGAATACCCGACCGAGTGGCCAGTTGAAATGTTTCCCCATATAGACGTTTCTTTCTTTTTGAGTGTTGCTTCCAAAGTGCATGTTGTGAGAAGAAACGTCTTCTGAACCCCAAAGTGTAAAAAAAAATAAAAAAATAACTTACCGTTAGTGTTTGGTTTTCCCTTTATCTTACCGACACAAGATGACAAAGGCAAGACTGAGGGCGAACTGGACGAAGAAGTTTACCTCGACTGTACCTGTGCATACTTACCTCAACACCCATCAGTTCACTTACCGTTGTTGCCTATTCGGAGTGTCAACAATTACACGCAGCGTGTCAATATTTACACACATCGTGTCAACGTTTACGCACAGCGTGTCAACGTTTACTTACATCGTGTCAACATTTAAGTACAGCGTGTCAACATTAACATGCAGAGTGTCTACATCTACTTATAAAGACTCTGGTATATTCATTTTATTATAAATTCAGCATTTTGTGTCCCAAAGAGTTCGATAGGGATCGACTAGTTTACTTTTTTGTTAATTTGTTTTTTTTTTAAAACAGGCCTCTTTATGCGTGCTTATTCAATCGACACTTTCTTCTCTTTAAACCTACCTGAATTTGATTTCTCTGCATTTTGATCATGTTTATAAAACCAACTTTAAATGTTACCAGTTTTTTTATCTGTGGGAATCATTTAAACACTCCCCCTCCCCCCCCCACACACACATTAGTAGGACAGTGATCTTTGAAAGTTACATGTAATTTACTACCGGGCGTTGCATTGGGAAACTAAAAATCAGCATGCATGGACACTACTTACCTGGAAGTCTAGCTGCGTGCGCCGGTGTCAAGATGAATGCCAGAATGGCAAAACCTGTAGGGAATGTCGGCCCCATCAGGACATGCTCAGACGAGACTTTTATGTTAACGCTAACACCTTGTTGGTAATTAGAAGGTGGAGTAATCGAACCAATCGATGAATAATTTTGAAAAAGTCATTAAAAGATTCGTGATCCAAATTTTCATTTAAAAAAAAAAAAATTAATTTGGATCTCTTCTCGAACAATTCGAAGCTCACTCTTTTGTTATTGTTATCTTGCATGATCGGCTCAAATCAAAACGGGAAAAAAAACAACTCAACAAAGCAATCATAAATAGCTCACCCCATGCACGACCTCTGAACGGTTAAGTGCCAAAACAAACAATTAGGTGAACACTCTTTCTTGCGTAAGCATTTTTACCCACGCAAAGAACGAACCCTTTTCCCAATGAGATCACCCCGTTATCTCCTCCTTTCAACAGTTATCTCTCTAGGCACGTAAACCTGTGACAATCGATTACGTGAGCCGGTGACAATGTTACGTAAAAGTCAATACCTGTCTCGACGTTTTTTGTTTTATTGTAATAACCTAAACACACCTTCACCATCTTGTGTTTTGTAGATGCTTGGCAAGCAATTGTTTACCTAAACTAAGAAAGGTGTAAGTTTAATTATGAGAAAGCATGGAAATACGGTTTTCGGTTTCTTGATAAAATAATGTATGTACACAAAATAGTTTTAAAAAAAATATTTGTTTTATTATTATTTAACACTGATTTTTTTTAAAGAGTAAAAATAACACACAGTTTTGTTTTAATGTTACAAGTAAAAGAAATTTAATTATTACAACTGAGCATTTAAATTAAAGGGGAACACTGTTGCGTACACTGGAAGCTGAACAAAATAGTAAATAGTAGTCTGCAGACTTTTTCTCGAGCCATACAAGTATTGTTTTTATAATGCTGTGGTTTGAATTTATAGGGTGTGGTACAAATTATGTTTAAATAATTTTTACCACAAATATATGCGGATTTAATACAGGATATGTAATGCACTTTTATTCATTTGCTGCCTTCTCGAATATTACTTCTCAGCTAAGTGGTATTTTAAAATTTAATTCTGTTTTTTTTCTGTTTGTTCGCCGACGAAGGCCTCCTGGCGACACGTTCGTTGTTTCGTTGCGTTAATTTTTTTCAGGTTTGACCATACTTTATTTTACTCATTTCCTATTTATAAAGTAAATTTTGAGCATGATGTTGTTGGCCATGTCTTTTGACATTTGACTATTCTTCAAGATTTATTTTAATTGGGTCGGACTGGAGGGTCCATGCCAGAAAGCCTGAATGGATCGGACTGGAGGGTCCATTCCAGAGAGCCTGAAAGGATCGGACTGGAGGGTCCATTCCAGAGAGCCTGAATGGATCGGACTGGAGGGTCCATGCCAGAAAGCCTGAATGGATCGGACTGGAGGGTCCATGCCAGAAAGCCTGAAAGGATCGGACTGGAGGGTCCATGCCAGAAAGCCTGAAAGGATCGGACTGGAGGGTCCATGCCAGAAAGCCTGAAAGGATCGGACTGGAGGGTCCATTCCAGAGAGCCTGAATGGATCGGACTGGAGTGTCCATGCCAGAAAGCCTGAATGGATCGGACTGGAGGGTCCATGCCAGAAAGCCTGAAAGGATCGGACTGGAGGGTCCATGCCAGAGAGCCTGAAAGGATCGGACTGGAGGGTCCATGCCAGAAAGCCTGAAAGGATCGGACTGGAGGGTCCATGCCAGAAAGCCTGAAAGGATCGGACTGGAGGGTCCATGCCAGAGAGCCTGAATGGATCGGACTGGAGGGTCCATGCCAGAGAGCCGCAATTCGTTTAATGACGAAGCTCTTCAAAAGAAAAGAATTCAATTGCTCACGAAAAATCTGTTTACATGCGCTAACAAAATTTATAAAGATTTATAAAGCCATGCATGCGATTGTTTGTGTAGTATTTTTCTTCCTCTAGCACCAATGTTCTCAAATAAATTGGGGTGTTGAAGGTGTTTTTATGTGTGCTGACAGGCTGAAAACATAAAATAAAAATGTATTAATTGAATGGAATGTTAGTTTAATCAGTGAATAAAATTTGAATTTATCGAAATACTCTCTTTTTTATTTCTTCACAATTATTTTTGCTATAATGTATTTTAAAAACTTCTTCACTTATGAACTCTAACACAATACATAAAGAAATATCGAGAAAGACATTCGCAAAAACTCATTTCTTTATTTTTAAAGGTTTTAACGAAATCCATCTAGATAATCGCATTGTCATAGCGAATAATCATTTTGAATTATAATAGGCTAAATAGTCAATTAAAAAAAAACTTTTTTAATCTACTAAATACCCATATTTAAATGTATCATTGTCGAGGGTTCTCGTTACTTCTATGAAATGTAGTCTTTAACTTGAAAATAGTTGGGCATCTCTGGTTTCATTCCATTCAACGCTTGCAACAGTTAATCAGTCCCGGACCACTCAGATTTTGGAATGTGATTCGTGACGCCTGGTGCGACCATTGATACTCTCCGTACTGCCGTCTGTCTTCTTCTTTTACAGCGTTTTCAAGGGTTGATGTCCATTGTTTTTTAAGAACCGTATCCATGATTTCCTTCGAATTTGTCCAAGACTAAGCTGTCTTACCCTCTTACATCTGTTTGCAAAAAATGTATATCGGCTACATTAGCGGGCGATAGAATGCGCCCTGCAAATCTGTTCTTCTTATTATTCGTATAATTTCTCAAATAACATCTTTGAAGGCACTGAAAAAATGCGATGGCAATAACTGCTGCTATATCAATAGTTATTTTGGGAATTTTTTTATTTTAAAAAAATCTATAATTTATAATGGCGTTATTATGTATTTTATTAAATCAATGGTGCATGGGGGCACCTGTCAAGTGAGACCATTTTGTGTGAGTGTATCGGATGTGTCTGCTGGAGCGCTCTGTCGGGTGTCAGATTTCTTTTCCGCAGATTCTTCTCTCAAATTCTTTTGAATGGTCTTGCTGGGAGTTGGGCGGTTTCATTTTCCCTGTACTGTTTAATTTGATGCTGACCTGGGTAGACACCAATGGTCGCGCCCTTTAACAAAAGTCGTGCACAATGATGTGTCTAATTATTGTCCAATAGGGAGGTTGATTGTGAAGGGTGACACTTTCAAAAAAGAGCAATCTACATTGGACCGTTTAAAACAAATGAAACAATTATAAGAACAAGGTATGCTAGACTTACATTTTTTTTAAGAATCAGAATTTTTGTGCGTCTTGTTTTCTGATGATGTCTCTACGCCGAAACGTCAAAATCTTTTGTCCTGTCAATGACTTCAAGTCTAGCGTACCTTGTTCTTACATTTCGTTTACACAACTTGAATGCAGTCCATCAATTATAATAAAACAGATAATCAAGTCTTGAAAACGATTTTTTTTTATAAACGTAGAACATCCAGGAGTTAAAAAAAAATTGCATATCATCAAATTATAAAACAGCATTTATAGTCCGTCACATTTTTTTATAAAGCTATTTTTTTAATTAATGGATCAAGATTATTGTACTTCATAGTTCAATTGTATCCATATTTGATAATTCAGTGGTGCCAACATTTCATAATTCAATGGTGTTAATATTTGATAATTCAGCGGTATCAATTTTTGACAATTCAATGGTGATAATATTTGGTAACTAAATGATGTCAATATTTGATATCTCAATGTTGTCTATATTTGACAATTCAATGGTGCCAATATTTGAGAATTCAATGGTGTACGCATTTTATTGAAGGGGCTGATAATTTCATAAAAGGTTAAAAAGCTAACAGAAAAACGAAACAATGACATTGCTTTCATTTGGCTAATGAAAAAAACAACAACAACACACGCACTTCACCGAAAAAGTCATTTCTCATGGACATTTGTATCACTAAGTCGGGAGTAATGCAGGATTTTTAGGACATTCGTCACGCATTTCTTAAAGGGAATTATCATGTACAGGACACACTTTTAAAAACAAATTATAGCACACAGAAAAGGAAAAAAGAAGAAATTTTAAAACAACAACATGCAAAATATAAGGAATATTTAGAACAGACCCATTCTAAAAGTGCACATGTGTCTTTATTGCTTGTATGTCTTCTAATTATATGAAAAAAGAAGTATGTAAAGAAAAAAAAATTATGTTAAGAAAAAAAATATGTAAAGGAAAAAAAAAAGAATTAAATACTTCGTTGGAGCAGAAATGTGGGTTGTTGCTGTTAGAGTCTTGACATCTTCTAGCTTCTAAAAGTTCTGTGCTACTCAAAATGTTCTAATCTCTTCGCTCTGCTAGAATTTTGACTCTGTCGTTCCAAAATGTCGTTTTATTTGAATGTCAATTGGTTGATGCTTGAATTTTGTTATTAGGGTGTAATCAGGAGGTTTTCACGGTGTTATCAGCCCTTTATGACTTTTAGTTCCTTTGTAATCATGGTCTCGGGGAGCTTAGGATCTTTCATGTCTGTATTTTGTCTCGGGGCGTTTCAGTGGCGACGCTGGGGGCGTGGTTTTTTGACGGGCTCTTCGCTCGTGCAGTAGGGGCGGCCCCGACGGACGTAGCATATCTCATCGTGGTCACACTTGTGTTCATCGCATGGGTGCCTGGAAACTGTGGATGTTACAGGCGGGTGTTGCATGAGGATATTACAGGTCGATGTTACACGTGGATATTACAGGTGGATATTACATATGGATATTATTTATTTATTTAGGCATTTTTTATATAGCGCTTACCTTAAAGCTCTAAGCGCTTTACAATTATTAAAAAACATGTAAGCTAAGTAAAATAAAAATGAGACACTAGGATAATAACTACTATACTATAGAAACAATTAAAATGGCTATAAAACGAGGACACTTTGGCACGTTTTGGCCTATACTACAGGAACAGAAAATGAGGCAGGGCGAGGAGGGTGCATCACAGGTCATAGGCGGACCTAAACAGATGGGTTTTAAGGGACTTTTTAAAAGTGGACGAGGTTTCACAATGACGGATATGGAAGGGGAGCTGGTTCCAGAACGTGGGCCCATAGAAGTAGAAGGAGCGTTCACCGATGGTCTAATTTTTAGTTCTTGGGATTGAGAGGGTTCTATTATCAATGGAAGAGCGTAGTTTGGATGTTACATGTGGATATTACAGGGGTATATTACAAGTGGATATTGCAGGTGGATATGACAGGTGGATATTACTGGTGGATATTACAGGTTTAGAGTAATAGCCGATTCAAGTTTGATATGATTATCCAATTCTCATTTGGATTGTTATCCTTTCACTGACTAAAAAAATTCACTCACCGTATCGATCGCATCTTTTTCCACGAAAACCTTCAGCACATTTGCAAATGGGACCCGAGTTGGTAAACACGCAGTGGCCTCCGTTGTAGCAAGTGTAACGGGTACATGGGTCAGCGTCAACTGGATTTTAAAAAAAAACAAAAAAACAATGTCATTTTTTTTACATTCATTTTTTTTTTACATTGTATCGATGGCCTGCCTGTTTGCGACTGTTTGTGACTGTTTGTGACTGTTTGAGACTGTTTGAGATTGTTTATGACTGTTTGTGACTGTTTGCGACTGTTTATGCCCGTTTCAGACTGTGACTATTTCTGACTCTTTTTGACTGTTCATGACATTTTTTTTTCGACTGGTTAAACTTACAAGGCTGTAAAGCAACGTGATTTTGGGTGAATATTAAATTTAAAAAAAATTAAAATAATAATGACATTGTTTTTGTTGAAAATTTAAAACATGTATTTATAAAGCACTAATAACATTTTATGCAAGATATCTATAGTTCGTTAGTCGCAATCGACTACGACCACCTTACATCATCCAAATATGAATGCAGCCGTAGATTCTTATGCCAGTTAGACAAATCAGATTTTCTTTGGATGAATTCATTGTTGTAAACTACAGGTATTTCTATCTTTTAAAAAAAAAAAATTGCATCGAAATAGCTACCTTGCCAGATTATATAATTGCTTTATTAAATTTATTTTTTTAAAACCTATTTAATTTCAAAAATAGTAAATATCTCTCTCTCTCTCTATGTATATACATAAATATAAATGTATGTACATAAATATAAATATATATACATATATATATATATATATATATTATATNACCGGCAACAAAACAGTGACCTTTGCATTAGAAGAGAGTATTACTTGCCTAGTGTCTCGCAGTAACGACCTTTGAAGTTGACCAGGCATTTACACAAAGGTTTTTGGCGCCTTATGGAGCAGACGCCGCCGTTCTGACAGTGGACATCATCACAAGTCTTTTTTGTCTCTGGAAGGAAATGTTTGCAGTCGAATAACTAGATTCCAACACAGGGTTCTCGATAAAAACCTACTTAAAGAAAAGTAATATTTTGTTTAATAAACCCGGGAATACGTTTATCAACCCCGTGGAAACATGGGAATACCCCGCCCCCCTGCCCCCCCCCCCAAAAAAGGGTCTTTGAGAGAAACTTTCGTATTCTTACCTTAGAAAATAATCATGCTAATTTTTTAAAATATTTTGTAACATTATTTATAGTTCACGAAAGATTTCATTTTAAAGTTTTAAAAAAAAAATATTATCGAATACTTTTTCTTTTAAGAAGTCAATTCTTTTCTCTAGCCTTTCGTTTTCTGAAGATATCTTGATTAGTAAATTTAAATAAAACCTTGTGCCAACTGCGAAAAAAATAAAGCTTTACTATATTTTTTTGCGTCCGTTTTAAAAAAATTTAAAATCGTTCGCTATCAACATTACGTTATCAAAATCATAAGACGACCCATCGGTAGGTAAAAATATAATCTTTAACCACGACACAATTTATTCACAGAACACAAAAACGTACAAAATTGCTAATTTTTTTTTTAAGGATGCGTTTAAGAAATAAAAAAAAAATGATGCGATTATAATAAAGTAGCCGATGGATGATCTTTATTCCCTGATGTCCTCACACCTAATATCTAAAATACTCCACTAGAGAAACAAGCAGTTAGCCTAACAGTTTCCGAGACGTAATTTTGTAGTAAAACAACGATACAATTTTTTTTTGTTACAAACGCTCACTACTGACCGCGTTCTGTGCTGGCATCCACAATCGTGAATAGAATCAAGAGGGTGACGATGACTTTGCCAGGTGTTGACTTCATTCTTACGCAGGCTCTGGGGGTAGAGTTGTGTATGACTGAGGGAAGTGCTGACCGCGGAGACTATTTGAAAAGTTAACGACCAGCGGATCAATGACGATGTTGGGAGACCAATTAACTGGCCGAAGATTCACTGCTTTTTAATTGAGGAAAAAAAATCGGTATAGAGTCTATGCGGTGGGTGTATTGAGTCTAAGCAGTGGGTGTATCCAGTCTAAGAGCGTGTTTATTGCGTCTAAGTAGGGAGTGTATTGCGTCTTAATGGTAGATATGACTGGTCATACTATCGCGTCATACTATCGCAGCTAAAAGGTCAGTAAGTTGCAGCTTAAGAAAGTAGATAAGCTGTCAGAAAGTAGATGAGTTGTCAGAAAGTACAAAATTTGTCAAAAACTAGGAGGGTTGTCATAAAGTAGAATAGTTGTCATCAGAAAGTAGAAGCGTTCGTCATCAGAAATTCAGAAAGTTGCCGGGAGGTAGGAAGGTTGTCAGAAAGTAGAAGATTTGTCAGAATGTAGAAAAGTTGTCAGGAAGTAGACGAGTTGTCAGAAATCAGGAGGGTTGCAAGAAAGCAGAAAGGGCTTTGGAAAGTAGAAAAAAAAAGGTTTTCATTTTAATGAACACTTAACTATATTTTTACAGAGGTCAATGGTCAACTTCACATTGCAAAGCAGGAACGACAATCACTGAGATAGTAACAGGTGTGCAGATAAATTTATTACCTGTCTTGTTATATCCATGTGTTGAAAAATTGCGTATTAGCAAAGTTTTTTTTCCTAATTTAAATTATTTTTTTTTAGGTCACGTGGTCGTAATCCGTAAGTAACAAAATAACCCCGCCCTACGCTCCGTCTCGCGCTCCCCCCCCCCCTAAACAATAATATGAAAACGACATTAAAAAACAACAACAAGATTCGGCCATGCTGTATAAGGCGATAGAACTTATGAATTGTTCTGTGTTTTGTTAAGTGGTGATATCAGTATGGAGAGATTAATCTCTTACTTAATTAAATGTATGGCTCGTTCTAAAACAGTACGCAACAAAAGACGATACCGTATGTTAAAAACAATAGCAAATAATACGATGCTCATAACAGGGCTTATTACAAATAATACGTTCTATTATGCCAATTATAATTTATAACATCAAAAAAGAAATGAAATTATAATTGTTGACATACAGAATAAAGTTTGGTTCATACCGGTACTGTGTTGAAGAAAATAAAATGTTGAAGAAAACACAATGTGCAAAAAAGGGATACAAGGATGGAAAGGAATCTCCACATACACACACACAGTAAACAAAGATCTCCAGCAAAAATAGCACACTTTCAAAATAGCTCTCGTCTGTCGTCTGGCCTTATAGTTCAATCTTTCGGCTTGTATATAGCCTGTTTCGTTAGATGATTCGAGAACAGAATACGCATTGCAATCGTTTTTCAAACCTATAAAATATTCTACAAAATTTCCAATAGAATCAGAACATAGATTATGGTTATTAACTGAGGCCAAAGGGAGACTATAATTAGTAAGAAACGGCTTACTAATAGCGCATTGCAGCCGAATTTGGATCAGCTAAGTTCATTCACCAGAAAAGATTTATTAAAGTAAAATGGGACGCCTATATATAACACAAAAAGTGGTTTAAATCTGTCTTATGAGTAGACGGACGTCCATCTCTCTCTCGTTTGCGTTCTCTCTCTCTCTCTCTCTACATACACACACACACACACACACATATATATATATATATATATATATATATTTATTTTTTGTTGAAATGTAGAGTTTTTGGGGAGTTCTTCATTAGTTATAATGCTATTTAGGTACTTGTATACTTTTAATTCTTATTTCGACGATTATATAAGGGTGAGACTACGATAGAGCTTAAAGAAATGTAACACTTACGCTATACAATATGACTCATGTCAAAGCTAACTCTAGAAACTTGAAACAAAAGAAAAAGGGAAGATCTAGTTAACGATTTCTGTAGTGGGTCTCTGATAATTAGGTTTTAGTTTCAGAGGCTTTACGCGTCAAGACCACGTGTTGCTCTGCCCAGCATGGCGTAGTTTACTGGGGGCTCGGCAGCTGTGCAGAGCTGTCAACCAGAGCAACAACAACATAATAAACAATTGTCTTTTAACACCGGGCTCGTAACATGGTGTATATATACTGTGTTCTTGATGTCAGTATTTCTTTTCAGAAATTCCCCCCCCCCCTTTTTTCGAGGCACTTTAGATTTCCGTGGGGGTGGACGTAGCTAAGGGTTGGCAGATGGGACATACGTCTCAGGGCGCCAGGCTTGCGGGGGGGGGGGAATGATCTTTGATGGAATTAATAGGTTGAAAATAACTCGTTTCAGAGTAGGAGGGGGGGGGGCGTAAAAATGAATCTAGTCCCCTGAAGCCAACCACCGTTGATAAGCCACCGCTGGCGTCGAAATAGGACGGATGGAGTGGTCCACCCAGGTGCCACTTTTTCTTTCTATGCTGATGTGACATTTTTGGACAACTGCAGAGTTTGAATTGTGAAAAGGAGGACGGCAATTAATACATTTGACCGCTCAGGGCAGCCTTAACAGTAGCTACGCCACTAGGCAGTGAATCTATCAATACCAAAATTAGCGATCATTTTTCATCGGGAAGTAGAGGGGAAATAGATGGCGCCGATGAATCTTGATCGGTGGAACGTTTTTGGGGAGCTTGCTTGATTATTTCAAAATCAAGAGGTGTAATTTTGAGCATACTTGAATTCGATGTTTCTATTATAACGTTTGAATAGGAAGAACGTTTTCTTCAGGTTATGTGGGAGGCATTATTTAGCCCAGTGCAATATATAAACTGAATTCACTCCGTTTGTGGCATGCCCCAAGGTAATCATCAGGGAAAGGCTTATAATCAACCCCATAGTGTAGCATTGATTAGCGTGATGGAAGGGGTGCATAATTAAGGATGTTAAAGACAGTCGTACAAACTCAAAATGCAGGGGTGCATTATTTTGGCACATAATTGAATTTGTTGTTTCTTACAGACAATGTTGAGGTGTCATTTGAAACGTTCGGGTGGGAAATGCAAAATTAGCCATAATAATGACCAAAGACATCTTAAATTTTGCACCAGCGGGACGTAAACTATATTCACTCTAATTATGTCACCTTTGAGGGTACTATTTTACCCCAGATTATTCTCCCCCTTTAAATCATTATAGTCCAGAGTAAGGTAGGAAAAAAAAAACTTACTTATCATTATAATACTCAGACGAACTTTTCTAAATATGTTCTAATTTTACCAGAGTAAGGTAGGAAAAAAAAACAAACTTACTTATCATTATAATACTCAGACGAACTTTTCTAAATATGTTCTAATTTTACCAGAGTAAGGAAGCAAAAAAAAAAGAGTTCATTTTAAAGGTCTATATATTATTATGGTTTTTTGAAAACTGATTATTTTTATATATAGCATATGAGCGGCAAATCTATTTTAAGAAGACATGAGTTGTTCAGAGATAACATTGTATTTATGAACTAGATGTAGCCCACCCAACCTTGGTGACAGCAATGCGTCAACTTCCCATCTACTAAAGTTACTTGACAAACAACGTTACGCGCATTTAAGAATGTCAATTTTGCTACGCGCCCCCCCCCCCCCCCCCACGCCCATGAACTATATAAATATAGCCGACCCGCGGCTTAGCAGACGTCACGAGCTTGGCTGGCAAGCGAGGGTGGTGCAGGAGGGGGGCGGTAGCTCCACCGCAGTGTGCATGTGTCGAGACCAACGATGGGCAGGCAGGGGAAGGGAGGGTTTTTCCTGCGTCTTGCTTGCTCTGGCGTATCTATGTATAGCCTACGTCGTCTTTTTGTTTGCCCTTCTTCTGGCAAATTATATATATATAGATGTGTGATTTTATCTAATGGGGATGTGTATGCAAATGAAGGGTAAATTGCCCAATATTCAGTAGATTGAAATTTTTATTTGGACTTTGAAACTACTATAACTTTCTTAAATTGCCTCTTCACTATACTTTAAAACATTTTTATCTCAATTCACAGAAACTGTTTTAAATTTATGAATCAGCAATAAGAATGTTTTTAAAACGCTTGCCAAAAAAAAAAAAAAAAAAAAAAATAATTTAAAAGAAAAAAAAAAAAAAAAAAAAAAAAAAAAAAAAAAAAAAAAAAAATAAAAAAAAAACAAAAAAAAAAAAAAAAAAAAAAAAAAAAGGAATTCGCAGGATAATGGACATGCTAGTTCACAAAGAAAAATAATTCTATACTTTTTACTGGATTCTGATCTAAAATAAAATTAATAATATTTTAAACAAAAGATGGCAATGCCAATGGATTGGGGCATTTTGTTTGTTATTCTGACATTAAAAGGAGAAAAGCAGCTTGGAAGTTAATAATAATAAATCTAGGCCAACGGCTAAATATTAAAAAAAAATAAAAAAATAAGGAAACTTTGTATTAAAGGTAGCACATTTAAAGAAAACAAAAACAATTTTGATTTAATAGTGATTCGTGAAACGTGCATCATTTCTTTGCGCCCTTTAAATTCTAAGTTAGGAAAAACAAAATCATGATGCCTAATTTTTTAGTCCTGCTTTTAAGATGAACTATTATTTGAAAACAGTTTGCACAAGTTTAATACTTGACTCACTAGCATTAAAATCGTAGACATTTATAGGTATGTAAATCTATTTTAATACAGTGTCATTTAAGTGTTTAAACTTGTGGAGTTGCAAAAAATTAATAAATAAAAATAGCGATCTATGCGAACAATAGGAAGTAAGACAGGAGTGGGCTGTGCGATTTTTATATCCGATTACTATAACTAGAAAGAAACACTGATGCCAATAATAGCTATTTAAAAACAAAAAAGAAGCAGGATCTCATCATTCAATTTATAATTAACACCATTCCCAACGTTAAAAATCATGCTTTTGTTATAAAATATAGTTTGAAAACATGAAAAGATCTCTAACGTTTGATACTAAGGGAGAACTCTATTAAAACTATAGACCTTAAAATACAGTGTTATTAAAGTCTTTAAACTTGTGAGTTTGCAGAAGATAATTAAACAGAAAATAGAAATACAAGCAAACGGCAAGTAATACTTCGGCTAATAACCGGCATATTTTCGAAACATTGCGATATTTATAATCGAATAAGGTAAGCGCCTAAGAAGATTAGCCTTAACTATACGGATCATCAACTATATCGAGCGTAGCGATATTTCACAGATTCCACTTATTGTAATTGGTTAATGACATCAGCTATTTATTTAAAAAAATGACTATTAATTTTTAAAAAAATAAAATATACATTGTTTTATTGTTGTGCACATTTTTTGCTCGGGGGGGGGGGGGGGTGCTTGTGGTATTTAGACCCGGACACGCATGGCGGCCATTCGGACCCGGATTACATTAGAATTTATTTAAAAAAATGACTATTAATTTTTAAAAAAATAAAATATACATTGTTTTATTGTTGTGCACATTTTTTGCTCGGGGGGGGGGGGAGGTGCTTGTGGCATTTAGACCCGGACACGCATTGCCGCCATTCGGACCCGGGTTACATTAGATCAATGCTATTCGGATGTCATTTGTGGTAGTTTATTTAAACTGAAGAAGTATCTTTACAAACGAATAGTTCATTTAATTATCTTTCATTTGATACTTCAATTTTTCTTATAACCCAAAAATACTATTTTTATATATTTTTTTAATCCCAACCTGTCACTTCTGGTACCCGGGTGCGAATAGCCGTTTCGTTTCAGATTTAGTTTCTTAGTTCTTCACCCAGGCATACAAAATGTGGAATTTAACAACGGCCTGAGTCGACCGTTGATCTGAGCCCTGCTTTCCCCCAATCATCCCGTCTCAAAAATCCTACATTTAGGGTCGATGGTTACTGGGTTTTTCTTTTTGTTTGTAACCAATCCATCTTATATCCCATCATTCAGCACCTTAACACCCCACCCCACCCCTTTCTCATGACCGAGCATAATGGAGCCGTAACCCTGTGTCATCGACTCAGATGCGAACTTGCAGGTCAGCACGAGGAAAACTGAATCGCCCAAACGAGAAATTCCAGCGCGTGAACATAATTTATATTACGCAATGTCGAAGCCCACTGTCCTTTATAAAGAAACCGAACAATTGCCACGAAATAATATTGTTTTGATATTTCAGGCTTGGGTCTCTTTTAGTAGGCTGATAAAATACAACTTTTGACTATTCATATCTGTAGTGGGTGGGTGGGAGGACTGCTCAGAGTAGCCGTCCATAGATAAAAATCTCTCTTTGAAATGATCACGTATTAATTTTTAAACTTATAAACGTGAAAAAAAGGTTGCTTGAATTCATTCGTTTAAATGTAGTACATTAACAGGCAGTTTGACAAGAGGTCGTCAGAATAAATTGTTTACCGTATGATAAAATAAAAAAAGGAGAACATGTTGCGAGTGGTTTTGTGAAAAACCAACAGCGCCGCCGCCACCACCATTGCCGCTACCACCACCAACAAAAACAACAAAGAACGCATCAAGAGTTATTCGCTCGAAATATGTCTGATGTGAAAGTGAAAACACCAAGCGTCATCGAGACATTTCCGAGAAGTTTAATCATCATCTCTGAATCACCCCGCTTAGGCTCTCATTTTGCTTTCTTTATTAAAAAAAAGTCGATTCGGCGTCGCTCCGGAAAAAGCTGCTTCCTTTCAGTGTTGTATCCACCAGCATTATTTTCATCATTCTAGATCCCCAAGGTCGCAAAACCTTCTGAATCGGTCGCATTGCTCACCGTACACACATGGCGGGCAAGTGCACTGGCCTCTGTCAGCGAGATTTTTACACAAACCGCCATTGTAACATTCGAATGTGGCGCAGAAGTCTTCCACTGGTATTAGGGAAAAAATTGTCAAGGCTTTGGTTAATGTTAAATTTTAAAAAATTAAAAAATACAACAGAAGAAAACAACAACAATATTAACAACAACAACAGCTCGTGACGCATATTAGACACTTTATGTAACTTTGCTCAGGGACATCTCATCACCATCAGTGGCGCTGCAGCCCATGAAGGGTCCTCACCTGCTTCACCACATCCTTCCATTCGGATCGGTCCATGGCTTGCCGCCTCCATGCGTGAACCTCAAACTGGTGTGAGTACAGTAACATCTGTACGACCATTATCATGATGCGTATGTACCGCCCTCGTTATTGCCTTTGGTTATGACAATAGTAGAAAACACTAAAATTCGAGCGATGTTATACTTACAGTCACAGTAGGTTCCTGTAAATCCTGACGCACATTTGCAGCGGGGGAACCCGTCCGCAAGCTTACATTGCCCGCCATTTTTGCATATGTAGTAGGCACAGCCTGACCTCGGAACTAAAAGAGAGAACGTTTAAAACAATCCGTCACATGTATAATTGTAAACTTTAAGAGCGATGCCATTGGAATAGATTTTTACTTACAGATTCCACAGCTACGCATATAGTCTCTATTCAATCAATTTCATCTTATAGCATCATATATCCATGGTGTCAGTTTTTATTTAATGTCTTATTTTTTTTTAAATAAAAAAATACTGTGGTGGGCTGCGGAGGGTTGGCAGTTGCTGCATTGCAATGAGGAACTGAGATTCCAAAAAGCAATGGACATTTTTAATTTAGTTCTTAAAAAATCGTTCACGGCACTGATTGCCTGCACCAATAAAACCAGAGAGAGTTAAAATGGAAAACAAATATATTCCAGATTCTCCTATCTCCTTAAGGTCCGCATCAAATACTCTCTCCTACTAATGTTTCTCAATTTCCCTGTATGTTTATCTTTTTTTTTTTTTAATTACTAGAATTTTATGTAGCCCTAAATATTTGGTCCCTTAAGATTTTGGTCCTTCTTTTTTCGCAGTATCAATATTTATATACGTTCACTTCCTGTATTCTACTTCCGGCAACAACAAAGAAGACATCTAAAGTTTTGTTTACTGTTCTCTGTTTCTTGTATTTTCCATTGTCCTGATCCCCGAAGGAGGCTCTAAGCGGAAACGTACACGTCGTACTGTCCTGTCTTTCGATTCAATCTTCAACATACTCATCAATCTTCAACATACTCATCAATCTTCAACATACTCATCAATCTTCAACATACTCATCAATCTTCAACATACTCATCAATCTTCAACATACTCATCAATCTTCAACATACTCATCAATCTTCAACATACTCATCAATCTTCAACATACTCATCAATCTTCAACATACTCATCAATCTTCAACATACTCATCAATCTTCAACATACTCATCAATCTTCAACATACTCATCAATCTTCAACATACTCATCAATCTTCAACATACTCATCAATCTTCAACATACTCATCAATCTTCAACATACTCATCAATCTCCAACATACTCATCAATCTTCAACATACTCATCAATCTTCAACATACTCATCAATCTTCAACATACTCATCAATCTTCAACATACTCATCAATCTTCAACATACTCATCAATCTTCAACACACTCACCAATCTTCAACATACTCATCAATCTTCAACATACTCATCAATCTTCAACGTACTCATCAATCTTCAACATACTCATCAATCTTCAACGTACTCATCAATCTTCAACATACTCATCAATTTTCAACGTACTCATCAATCTTCAACATACTCATCAATCTTCAACGTACTCATCAATCTTCAACGTACTCATCAATCTTCAACATACTCATCAATCTTCAACGTACTCATCAATCTTCAACGTACTCATCAATCTTCAACATACCTTGTTCTACTATTTCATTCCAATAGCTTTAGTGCAGTCCTTCAATTCTTATAAACACATTTTCCCATTTTAAAATTAGCGACGTTCATCTTTTTGCCTCAATAACACAGCATTGGATTGATGATTAAATGATTTGATGTGAGTTGCTTGTTACGGAGTGTTAATTAGATTATGCCCCATAGTCTGTTTCTACATTGATAAGTACCAAGTAATTTTGTGAATCCTCCACCAGGGCTTGTCATACTTCTCATGCTCTTTACATTGGAATTTTTTGTTTTCTCTTTTGTATTGCTTTAAGTGTGCATTTACTTGCCCGAAAATTGACACCTTTCCCCTGTGTAGCTATCTGGGCACACACACTGAGGCTCCCCGTTGACAATTGTGCAGATCCCTTCGTTGAAACACGTTAATGGACAAGATTTATCCGTTGCTGGAACATAATTTTTTACATGCTAAAATAAAATGCAGCGTTGCCATCAACAAAATACATTTGCCATGAAAAATCTAAAGATTGCAAAGTAAAATTCCAAGATTGCCTTGCCACACCATTTCCCCGAAAACAACCCCAATGATTGCCCCCACTACAAATAACATTCTTTTAATCAACCTTGCTAGATTTCAACCTATCCAACATCTTGAATTTTATTTCGAGCGAATTCTTCTTTATCTCAAATTTTATTTCATTTCCCTACAAGACGTTTGATCTTTTCGAGTTACTTTTGGAACAGTTTTTACTTACAATGAGGTCGATAACACAAGAGTTATACACTTTTACACAAAATTAACATCAGAGTTATACACGTTTACACAAAATTAACATGAGAGTTATACACGTTTACACAAAATTAACATCAGAGTTATACACTTTTACACAAAATTAACATCAGAGTTATACACGTTTACACAAAATTAACATGAGAGTTATACACGTTTACACAAAATTAACATCAGAGTTATACACTTTTACACAAAATTAACATCAGAGTTATACACGTTTACACAAAATTAACATGAGAGTTATACACGTTTACACAAAATTAACATCAGAGTTATGCACTTGAACACAAAATTAACATCAGAGTTATGCACTTGAACACAAAATTAACATCAGAGTTATACACTTTTACACAAAATTAACATCAGAGTTATACACGTTTACACAAAATTAACATGAGAGTTATACACTTTTACACAAAATTAACATCAGAGTTATACACTTTTACACAAAATTAACATCAGAGTTATACACGTTTACACAAAATTAACATGAGAGTTATACACGTTTACACAAAATTAACATGAGAGTTATACACTTTTACACAAAATTAGCATCAGAGTTATACACTTTTACACAAAATTAACATCAGAGTTATACACTTTTACACAAAATTAACATGAGAGTTATACACGTTTACACAAAATTAACATCAGAGTTATACACGTTTACACAAAATTAACATCAGAGTTATACACTTTTACACAAAATTAACATGAGAGTTATACACGTTTACACAAAATTAGCATCAGAGTTATACACGTTTACACAAAATTAACATCAGAGTTATACACTTTTACACAAAATTAACATCAGAGTTATTCCCTTTTACACAAAATTAACATCAGAGTTATACACTTTTACACAAAATTAACATCAGAGTTATGCACTTGAACACAAAATTAACATCAGAGTTATGCACTTGAACACAAAATTAACATCAGAGTTATACACTTTTACACAAAATTAACATCAGAGTTATACACGTTTACACAAAATTAACATCAGAGTTATACACTTTTACACAAAATTAACATCAGAGTTATACACTTTTACACAAAATTAACATCAGAGTTATACACGTTTACACAAAATTAACATCAGAGTTATGCACTTGAACACAAAATTAACATCAGAGTTATACACTTTTACACAAAATTAACATCAGAGTTATACACGTTTACACAAAATTAACATCAGAGTTATACACTTTTACACAAAATTAACATCAGAGTTATGCACTTGAACACAAAATTAACATCAGAGTTATGCACTTGAACACAAAATTAACATCAGAGTTATACACTTTTACACAAAATTAACATCAGAGTTATACACTTTTACACAAAATTAACATCAGAGTTATACACGTTTACACAAAATTAACATCAGAGTTATACACTTTTACACAAAATTAACATCAGAGTTATACACTTTTACACAAAATTAACATCAGAGTTATACACGTTTACACAAAATTAACATCAGAGTTATACACTTTTACACAAAATTAACATCAGAGTTATTCCCTTTTACACAAAATTAACATCAGAGTTATACACTTTTACACAAAATTAACATCAGAGTTATGCACTTGAACACAAAATTAACATCAGAGTTATGCACTTGAACACAAAATTAACATCAGAGTTATACACTTTTACACAAAATTAACATCAGAGTTATACACTTTTACACAAAATTAACATCAGAGTTATACACGTTTACACAAAATTAACATCAGAGTTATACACTTTTACACAAAATTAACATCAGAGTTATGCACTTGAACACAAAATTGAAACCAGATTTATGCACTTTGACACAAAATTGACACCAGAGATACGCACTTTAACACAAAAGGGTGAAACCTAAAATCATGTGTTACTTGCTTTTTATATGACAATTTGTTCCAGTCCAGCCTGGCCGGCACACGCAGTACGCGTCGTAGCCCTGGACCTTACACACCCCACCATTGTCGCATTCCAGATCGAGGCATTTATTGATTACTCCTTGGGGAAAAATAAAAAAAAACAAAAAAACAAGCACAAGTTTGGCACATCCATCACACAGCCAGGGGAGAGGATTTTAAAAATGCGCGAGCCGCCAGTATGCTCAAAGTTCTTTGTGTGGCTTCAATTGAAGATCATGAAGTCATTCACAATTTGAATGCAAGACCACACGCGAAGTTACAAACAGATAGAGCAACCTGATAAGAAGTCATACAGCATAGTTGTATCTCATGGGTTCTCCACGCGTTGTTTTTTAGTGATATATCTGAAACAACTCTGAAGTTGTATACGTTTCAGTATATTTTTGAATGAGCGTGTTGTTGTTGTTGTTTTTTTACTTTAAAAAAAAAATATTGTTTAATTTATTCCCAAGTAACAAAGTTTCAGCTCAATATGAGATCAGGAAGTGAGTCAAAACATAAATGCTAGATTTAACACGCAGAGGTCACTCGATGGGCAGTGGGGGGTCACTGGTGACCTACTGACCAAGAAGGGTTGCATTGTCATCGGGGTGAGTACGCGTACGATTTGAAATCAGGAAGTGAGTCAAAATTGAGATCTTGTAGCTTGTATTGTTACCAGGATTGTGTAGTTATGCAAAAATTTCAATCCATCGGACGAAAGGAAAAAGTGAAGATTGAGGTACGAGATTTACTAAAATAGTAAATAATAGTCGCAGAAAAAAAATCATATTTTAACTTACAGTCAATTGTGTGTGAGTGTAAACGTAAATCCTAAGTTAGTTTGATATTAAGATAATTCTTGACTTAATGTGAAAGCCTAAAATTAAATGTACCTTTCAGTTGCAAATCTAAGCCATCTACCACTGACATCAGCAGCATAGGGGCTAAAACAAAATGGAGTCCAAACATTTTCACTGTGTCCCCCAGGTCTAGTCAGGATAAAACTGGTACAACTCTGTACCCCCTCAAAACTTATATCATTCGCTAAAAAATCTATTATTAATTAATTTTCTAATTTAACCCTTGCTAAATGTCCTGACTGCTCTCGATTCGACTAAAGCCATTATACGTCTACAACACACCGCATTGAGCTGAATGTAATCATATTTGCTGTGTTGCGTTTAAATTTTTGTTTAGCGTCTGAAAAAGTTGGAAGAATTTGGTTCAGAGGCTTGTAAATGCATTTAAATAGCTTTAAGTACGTTTTTCCATTCTCTGCAAATATTTTTAGCATATTGATCACTTAACGAGCAGGCATTACTTTCAAATTAAAGAAATGTTAACTAGCTAAAATATTGAAAGCAGGCGTTTCAACCGGTTATTTAATGATTTATTTTGTTTAGGTCAGCCTTCAACTGTTTCTGTTTCTTAGCTCCTATTCTTTCATAGGAATTAATGCATGAGTGAATGAACAACGAGATTTCCGATTACCAAAAAAAAATAACAGAATATAATTGAAAATAGTGCATCAAATTAAAAACGTCTCTCCATTTAATTAGATTGTGTTTTAGGTTTAAAACAAGATTTTATTCTTAATGGTTGTGGAAGCGATGCTTTTTTTTTTTTTTTGGGGGGTGGGGGGGAGGGTTGGGCCAAGGGGTAAGATTTTTAGAGGTGACCGCGAAACGTTTTCAGGTGGATCGTGAAGGGATCACGTATATAAATATATAAACTTTTAGGGCTAATTGCGATTGTTTCTACTGGTGCTGTGCCTCGCGGAGAAGTCTACTTTAGTTCCTATGAGACTTCAGGATCTCTAGTATAGTGTAGTGGTAAGGGCACACTTCTTTTCTCGGAATCCAGCAGAGAGTGCGTCAAATGTTTAGGCCTACTATGTTCCCAGAAATATTTCGCATATTGTGAAGCTTCAACATTCTTGAGTCATTTCAGTTAGTATCTAGCTCTCAGATCTCCAAAAGCCGGCCTGTAAATTCTTAGAAACTAAGTGTTACGAATTTGCTTCTAATATGAGAAATTAATCTGCTATTTTAATTTTATTGGCTTGTTGTAAACAGTGCCTAACAAAGGACGATACCATAGAAATACGATAATAAAGATACGACACCCAAACTGTTGCCAGTTACAATTAATATGATGTAATTTAGTATTAATACAAAAACAAAACAAATGAAATATAATTATAAATCATTTCCTTACAGTATTGTAGATGTTGTACCTGTACACAGTTAACACAGTTAGTATAATGTGCTAATGAATAATGATGAAATGTGAAATAAACACATATGAGCACACAAATACACAAAGAATAATACACGACGCCAAAAGTTAATAATATCTATCTGAATCTCCGACCCTCTGTGCCTGTCAATCCTTTATATATGTGGGTCTACCGGCGCTCCTAGAAACGCCTTTACTTTTCCAGAACAAATTGAGAACCTTCCATAAGACACTAGTAGGCATACTAACCAATGTGTAATTGGCCATCAGTTGTGAATAAGATACATCAAAGAGAATTCAAGCCACAGCAACAACAAACGCTACCGTCTGCTTGGGATCTAATTTAGGTCAAAGCAAAGTTCACGCACGGGGATTGTGTGCTACATAACAAGAGTTACATTTAGATTTATCCAGAGAGAGAGTGTGTATGTGTGTGTGTGTGTGGGGGGGGGTAATAGGGTTGGGCGGAGAATTTTTTCTTCAAACACTTCTCGTGTTAATTGATTACTTTTTCCCTCAGTCATATGCAGGAGAAAAATTGTGTTTAAAAACCATCTCCATCTTTCGTAACCTAACAACCTCCATCCCGTGTTTTATCCTTGGTAAAATGTTCTTTTCAAAACGGTTCTAGATATAATTTGGATGTTCTATTATCTTAATTAATTGGTATAATTAATCTAATTTTTCTTTGTTAACGTAAAAAAATATAATAACTATTTTATATTTAAAATTTCAACAAGTTTTTTTTAAAAATAGATCATAATATCCTTCAAATTATTTCATTACATATGACTTTCAAATTAATTTTTTTTTTTACTGTAATAAATTCTAGTTGCAAGAGAAAACCCTGTGTGTTTAGTGATTTTAGGTGTCGACATTCTTTTCTCTAAAGCCCAGCAGGTTAAAGAGGCACTCTTTCGCAGAACCTTAATTCTTGTCTTAAAGCCTCCTCTATGATTTTCAGTAAAAAAAAAATCGCTTGCGCGCAGGAAAACCCTAAAGCACTGGAAAACTTGAATTTTTAACTTTTCTGGAAAGATATCATATCGAATTTGCTGTGAAGTTCTGAACTTGAAAAGCTAAATCATGATTCCATGTCAAACGATTCTGTTATGAGACGAATGGTGGACCAGTCTGATAACATATTATTGTCACAGCTGGTCTCGAAGAATCAGAAATCGATTTTCAAATTCTTTGCGACCCAGCTTAAAGAAGCGATTTGTGTCGCCAACGTAGCCTCAATTTTTGTCTAAGTACGATATGTATATGACAAGAAACTCTCAGTACCAAAGTGAATGCACAATGCATATTTGATAAGACTGACAGATTCTTTGAGGCGCTTTGTATCTCATTGGAATATGTCTTTGGCGTGTGTACTGACAGCGCTCCATGCTTGAATGCCGTTTTTCTTTTCAAACTTCGGTTAAGCAAAAATCCACAAACATTATTGGTGAACACTGCATTATGCATCGCCGAGCCTTAATGATGAAGACCATGCCGGAAGTGTTGGTAATGTTCCCATTGAAGTAATTACAGCAGTGAACTCCATTAAAGTGAATGCACTCAACTCTCCGTTTATTTTCTGAGGTGTGAAAAGAAAGTGTTTTCGGATTTGAAACATTCTTGTTGCACCCACACGTGAGGTGGCTTCCGAAAGGAAAAGTTTGAAGAGAGTTTTTATACTATGTAAATGAAATGCAGCTGATTTTGCAAGACGCTAAACCAGGCATGAACCCAAAATTCCCTGTCAGTTATTATATCCCTGTCATTAAGCCATTAAAGGGTAGACATATTTGAATCGTTGATTTCCATCAACATGGGGCTGCAAGGACAAGAGATCTCAGTGCCGCAAGAGCAAGAAGTCATAGTGCTACAAGGACATGAGATCTTAGTGCCACATTGACAATTTTCAAATCAAAGCTTGACCTACAGCATGAAAAGCAAGAGAAGAAGAACTTGTCTTCATTTCCACAGCTAAACACATCCAATCATGAACATGAGCTTTACGTTGATGACACTATCCTTGACGTGTGAAGAAACATGTATCAAGTCTTAGCGAAGACATTGCTCATTATTTTATTATTTATAAGAATTTGAAAAAATACTATAGCTCTTTTAACGATCCCTTTGTACGCCCCATTAGTGATCTGCCTTGGGAGGACAATTGAATTGAAGAATATGTTGTTGCTTTGAAAAGTGTTTAGGGTGCAAAAGATTTTTCTGTAAAATGTGTTTTAGTGATTTTTTTTAAAATTGAAACGGTGCACTCCTATCCAAACGTTTCAAAGATGGGTCAAAGGTCGCATTCCTTCATATCTTTTTATTATTTTGTACTCTAAATAATTAATAAAAAAACATTTCGTTTTTAGCGAAACAATAAATGTACGGTAAGCTTTCGTGATGCGCCATTATAATCTTCGCCGAGTTTGTTGTTAATTTATTTATCTCCATCAACTTTATAACTTTAATTCACTTTGTGCACATTTTTACATGGATGACAATATATTTAAATCCTTGGGTATTACATTTGTGGAAAAGAGATGTTACATTCTCTTTTGACAACCAAACATATGTTTAACAATTAAGAAAATCAATGGCGTTAACAAAAAGTGGGTACATTTAAAGAAGTATTTTATTAAGTTTTTATTGTGTTATAAATTTAATAAAAGTATAGTTTTGGAAATTAAAAAAAGAAAAACTTATTAAATGTTAAAAATACAAAGCTAAAATTTGTGTATGTTTTATTAACAATTTAAAAAGAAATCAATTATTTAATTTATTTAAGGTAAAATATATTATCAAGTGTTGTAACGCGCGGTTATTATAAATAAATGAAACTTAAGAGCCTGGGCTAAATAGGCTATTCGCGCTATTACATCATTTGCATGATTATTTAGAACAAATTAATTTTAATTTTATTTCGCAATATTAACAACGCAATAAAAACCGCACAAAAATCAACTGATGCTTGGGTTTTCCGATAAATGTGATTGCGGTGTAATTCTTCTTTGATCATAACTCTTGTTATTGTTTTTATTTTTTCATGACTATCAAACGCATATAAAATGCTTAAAATAGTTCCTTAGTTCATACTTTAAATGTATTTGTAATTTATGATAATAATACTTAAACTTTTACTAAATTGATAGGGGGATATATCATATGCTTTGCGCATTTAAATTTATTCGATTTCCGTAAAATTACAGAAAATTACTGTAATCGTTTTTAAGAATTCGAACGTACTTAAATCTTTTCTGTTCTTTGGCGTTACGGTCAGCATAGCTCATTCTTGTATCTATACGCTTTCTGTTCTTGTTATGTTTTGCATTTAATAAACCTTTTTATAATCGCCGTGTATGTCCCGGAAGTGTTAGTAGTTCAATGATTTAATCCAGATTTGACGAAACAGAATTTTGTGACCTGTTTTAGAAGTGACATTTATTTTAATCAAAACGGATACAATTTCGGTGTGACTAAATTTACCATCATGTCGCTAATGCCATGGGTGCCTTTGAGAAACCTTCGTTTGGTTTCTTACAATTTAGTGTATAAATAAATTGCATGCATGTCTTGATGAGCCAGCTGATTTACCTCATTTCAGTCTTATAACATAAAGCATTGTATACGAGAAATCAAGAAAACCTCATGTTCCAACTGAACTCGCTTGAATGCCAAGACATTAGTATTACAGCTCAGTGCAACTCACTTACACACACGAAGCTTGCATTCCTTTTAAGATGTTCTTTTATTGTCGAGGTTATAAAGGAAATTCATATATTTTCTCAACAGAAATCTTTAGTCTAGTGTTGCTGATTTTATTGGCTTTGGTTTGGAAAGTCCTGGGGTTCGTTAAATTAATATTATGAATATAAGTGATTTTAAAAAAAAAAAAAAATTAAAAAAATACTTTTTGAGCATCACTTCAACTGTCATTGTTTATTGTGTTAAGTGTACACCTCTGTGTAATGGAATTCATGAGGTAGGAGCACTTGGTTCAAGACGAGTAGTTTAACCATCGACTGAAAAAAAAGAAGAAGAAAAGCATTGTTTAAATTTACCAATTTTATCTTAAAAGTCGAACCAAGAAGAGAAAAGAAAAGATGAAGAAGTCTTTTCCGTTCTTTTCTGTCAGTGAAATTTTAAGCAGTGATAGAATATAAGTTGGTATATTTTATGTTTGTGAGTTTTGTTATATGGAGTGTGAGTATTGTTTGAAAGTTTGTGGGTATTGTTTGAAAGTTTGTGGGTATTGTTTGAAAGTTTGTGGGTATTGCTTGAAAGTTTGTGGGTATTGTTTGAAAGTTTGTGGGTATTGTTTGAAAGTTTGTGGGTATTGTTTGAAAGTTTGTGAGTATTGTTTGAAAGTTTGTGGGTATTGTTTGAAAGTTTGTGGGTATTGTTTGAAAGTTTGTGGGTATTGTTTGAAAGTTTGTGAGTATTGTTTGAAAGTTTGTGAGTATTGTTTGAAAGTTTGTGGGTATTGTTTGAAAGTTTGTGGGTATTGTTTGAAAGTTTGTGGGTATTGTTTGAAAGTTTGTGGGTATTGTTTGAAAGTTTGTGGGTATTGTTTGAAAGTTTGTGGGTATTGTTTGAAAGTTTGTGGGTATTGTTTGAAAGTTTGTGGGTATTGTTTGAAAGTTTGTGGGTATTGTTTGAAAGTTTGTGAGTATTGTTTGAAAGTTTGTGGGTATTGTTTGAAAGTTTGTGAGTATTGTTTGAAAGTTTGTGGGTATTGTTAGAAAGTTTGTGGGTATTGTTTGAAAGTTTGTGGGTATTGTTTGAAAGTTTGTGAGTATTGTTTGAAAGTTTGTGGGTATTGTTTGAAAGTTTGTGAGTATTGTTTGAAAGTTTGTGGGTATTGTTTGAAAGTTTGTGGGTATTGTTTGAAAGTTTGTTAGTATTGTTTGAAAGTTTGTGGGTATTGTTTTAAAAAAAGCGTTAGCATTATTTCAAAGTTTGTGTGTATTCTTTCAAAGCTTGTGTTTATTGTTTCAAAGTGTGTGAGGCTTCCTGCGAACAATTACGTTATTTAAATTAGTTTCTATTTCTTGTCGTATTTGCATTTGTCCTGTCTGCCGAGGAAGGCTCTTAGCCAAAACATTCTACTTTAATTGTTGTGTCTTTCAATTCATTATCCCACATTCCTTGTTATTCTTTTTTCTTGAGTATTGTATCAAAGTTTTACGTCGCTATGTTTATTTTATTTTAACAGGCTATGACGAAGCCAATGACAGAACCAATGACTAAGCCAATAACAGAGCCAATGACTAGGCGAATGACAGAGCCAACGACTAGGCCAATGACAGAGCTAATGACTAGGCCAATGATAGAGCCAATAACTAGGGCAGTAACAGAGACAATGACTAGGCCAATTACAGAGCTAATGACTAGGCCAATGATAGAACAAGTGACTAGGCCAATAACAGAGCCAATGACTAGGCCAATGATAGAGCTAATGACTAGGCCAATGACAGAGCCAATGACGAGGCGAATCACAAAGCCAATGACGAGGCCAATGACAGAGCTAATGACTAGGCCAATGATAGATCCAATGACTAGGACAATAACAGAGCCAATGACTAGGCCAATGACAGAGCCAACGAATAGGCCAATGACAGAACTAATGACTAATGAGCCATTGAAATCATTCAATGAAGCCATTTGATTGTGTCTTCATATAGATGTATCATAATTTGTGAAGAAATTGACATAAATGAAGTAATAAAATTGTATCCAGTCTCACAGTTGTTGAGATGTAAATTTAATTTTATTTTAAAAAGATGTAAATTCAAAATGATCTATTGTCAGGCATGTGTATAGTTTTAATGAAAAAATCAAACGAATATCAAAACACGATTAACTGTACCAATTATTTTGTCTTTAGTTTAATGGGTTTTTTTTTTTGGGTATGTTTTTTGTGAATCTTATTGTGAGTTTTTATGATAATAATTATTACGACACATGTTGTCCAAAGGTATTTCATATTTAACATCAGCAGTGCTACTACGGTCCATTACTGGCCTGCTGAACTAAATCTTTTCATTTGGACACCATCAACAGTGGCACGACTGCCCACAAGGGCCCTGTCCTGCTCCACAACATCCTTTTTATGGGTTCGATCCATGGCTTTCCGTCCCCCAAGCGTAGACCCCCGGCTGATGTAAGTCTTTCTCTTCGTTAGCAATCCACATCAGTCCCGGTCGCTCGATGAGCTAAGTTTCATATCAAGATTTTTAAACAGATCAAAAACTAGACAAGACGGACAAAAATACGTACTTGTGACGTCTAGCTCACAGAATCGCCCTGTGAAACCAGTGAGGCATTTGCATTTGAAGTCTTTGGTCTCATTCATGCAGTCGCCGCTGTTGAAACAGACGACTTTTTTCCTCTGACACCAGTTAATATCTGTAAGAGGGAATACCTTTTTGTTCATCAAAGTTAATATTTGATTATTGTTTAAAAACCATACGACCAAATAGGATTACCGTTTTGAAACTTGCTCAAATTCTCAGTCGCCTCGGTGATGATTCCTTGCCTAATCTGTTTAACAGCATCGTCATCGCAAAATACAATTAAGTTAAAGATGTCAAATTATAAAATTCACATATTGTTTCCAGAATGTCCAGTTCTTAAAAGACTACTTTAGAAATAAAGTACATTTAGGAAAGGACGCAGGAAGACGGAGGGAGAAGGAGTAAGAGGGAGAGAGAGAGAGAGAGAGAGAGAGAGAGAGAGAGAGTTTGATAGACGGAAGTGCTAGAGAGGTAGCAGAGAGCACTATAGTAAAAAAATGAGTGATACAGTGAGATGCAAAAATATATAATCAGATATATATAAAAGAGAGATAGTATCTAAGACTAGACAATAATTTATATATGTCTACAATTTTCTGTCAACACATATACGTACAACAAGATAAGAGTGTTTGTCTCTGTCTATAACTTTTTTTGCTAACAAATGCCTTTTGGCCGCAATTTGTACTTTCTTGTATTTTCGTTCTTAAGATTTTCTTTTACCTGTTGTACATTTTGTTATTGTTCCAACCTGAACCCTGTCCTCCCCGTATTTCTCTAGAACAATGGCAGTAGGACTAAAGACTAATAGATTTCCTGATCGTGTCATAAGTGTAAAACTTCTATTGAGGAATAGATTTGATGGATATGAGTTTTCATTTGGAAAATAAAACAAAATTTGAGAAAAGTTTACACCTTTGAAATATAGTTTCTCTACAATGTTTGAAATAGATCTCGGCCATTGCAAACATTCCCAGACCCTGGGCTCAGAATAAAAGTCTCGAGGAAAAAAACAGTCACCAGCGAGATGAGATGTTTAAGGCGGGCAGCTTTGTAAAAACAAGAAGGAGCCACATTAGGAAACAAGTAAAATAATTAATCGTTAATTGCATCCCCATCATCCAGTATATGAGAAAAAAAAATTGATAAGCTGTTCAGGCTGGTCTAGCAGTCAGAATGCCTGTCAACCTGTCGAGCGTAGAGAAGCAGGTACTAGGGTTTCAGTTTAGAGATATAACCACGCTTTTGGTGGCTCGGCTGCTCTAGGGATACTATTAGAACCCAAAACATAACATCCAGCAGGCCTCACGTCATGCGGCAACCCGCCAACAGCAGCATCCCGCGAGGCTTCTCCAGTACACAGTGGACACATTTGAAGAAGAGAGATCGTTTGACCAACGTTTCGCGTTTCTTTTTGTCGCGTCTTGAACAAGACATACATTTCCACTTACTTTCACATTTTGGACCGTCAAAGCCAAGTGGACAATCACAGTAGCGGATGCCTTGTATAACTTGGCAGACGCCGTTGTTGTAACACTTGTGGTTGGAGCAACTTGGGGTGCCTAAACACAGAATGTACAAAGTGTGCAATGAAAGCGTTAGTTAAAGTAGGAACATATCTTTTTTTTTTCAAAAGAGCCTTATCAAAAGTTTAAAATGCAATAAGTAGGGTAATTAATAAAATATATGCTTTTCTTAGGAGTTATTTCCTCAAAGGGCAGATGTTGCTCCATCTGTAATTAAATGTTCAGTATTCAACAAAAAGCAGAGTAATTTTATTTTAAATGCAAGAATTTTTAGTGAATCATAAAATATTCTGAAAAAATGTAAAATGAAGGCAACGATGTCAAAAATCTAACGTTCAAGGGGAGTCGATAACGTATGCGTCTATGAGTCGCATATATTATTTCAAAACATCTTTACCCATAGCTTTCCCTCCCTTTTGTAAGATCATGTATAAAAGAAGACATCATTCAGAAAAGGGGAGCTAACATATTCTTCTGGGTCTTTTCTTATATCCGGACATCTTATCTTTTTTTAACATTATTTTTTTAAAAATAGTACTATTAAAACTTGGATATTTATCTAATAGTACCATTACCCTGATATTGACACAGTGCTCCGTAAAATCCATCAGGGCACACACATTTCTGTTTTTTGTCCGCATCAACCTGGCACACTGCATCGTTCTTACAGTCCAAGGTGCATCCTCTCTTTATTGCTGAAACATAAAAGACGGATTTATTTAATTTAGAACGTTCCTTCGAAACGTCGCTTTCGTTCGTGAATGGCAGGCAAAATCTTCGGACGGCTAATTGACCCACCTCTCGTCAACCTATTGATTTATAACTTGGCACATTGACTCGTTGCCGGTGACAAAAGTTCTAACAAAATTTCAGACTCCGCCCTGAAAAATCTGTTTTCCCCCGTTTTTCAAAGGGAAGATAAGCGAAACACGATGACACCGATTTCACGAAATAAAATTTCCGATAATTGCGAGAAATGAGATTCCTTTAAAACAAAGTACGTCGCTTGTGTGTTTGTCGCGTGCAGATTTTCTTTTGTTTTCTTGAAATAATGGATGAAATAAATCTGCGGTGTAAAAGCGGGTGGGTCATTAGTATTTGAATATATTTAATAGGTGAGAAAAACATGTGCAGTTGCAAGACTTGGAGGGTTGTTTTTTTGGTTTTTTTTCGGGGGGGGGGGGGGTTGGGGGTGGGTGTACTAATTGGGGTTCTTATAAAAAGCGTTACTTGTATGCATGTTTTGTTAATTTGTCGGCCCCGACCCCAACCCCATGGCTCCCAACCCCATGGCTCGAGATTAAATGGTATAAACGTATTTATCGGCTTTGTTAATTTTAATTAAGCTCTTGGGATTCATGGGTTTTTTCAACTAAATGTTCCATTGACACTCTGTAGCTCACGAGATATGACCATGTCAAATGTGGTTGCCATCTCTTGCTTGGAGGGGTTTCTTGCGATAAAGTAACTGATTAAACCAGAGGGGAAAAAACCTACATACTGGGCTTCATATATTAAATATATATTTTTAAACAAGAAACTGGCAGGGAATAGGTTCGATACTTTATTAAATCGAGATTTAAACACAATTATATTTATATTTCTCTTCAACTCAAATAAACTGAAGTACTCTAATAATATCGTGCTGCGCGGTGCACAATAAGCTGAGTACTTACTGACTACTTGACAAATGACTCCAGTTGAACCATCCTCACAGTAACATTTAGGACGTCCATTTTCAATCTTGCACACCGCATAGTTGTCGCACTTTATACCTCCACATTCCCCGTAGGTCCCTGCAAGGCAAAAGAATACACACTTATAATGGACCAATTGACCGTGAAATCTCATAACAATATCTTTGATCAACTTTCCCCATCTCCCGCAGTGTGTATACATTCCGCGTGCCGAACTGTGGGGATTTTCCTCAGCAAAAAAAAAAAAAAGGAGGTGGTCTGCAACTCGGCTCCTTCTTGGGCCGACGAAGCCGATTCATAATATCTTTTTCAGGCCCACCTACTCGGACGATGATCGGCTCGTGTTCTAATGATTAAGGTTCCTTATTTTGCGATAAAATTGTTGTATACATAATATTTAAATTTTCACAAAATATTTAAATCTCTAAAATGTTTCTACCTTCCACAACTTTCTTGCGATTTCTGAAGATAAATTAATGGCATAAAAATAACTAAATTCCTAAATGAAATTATTTTTTTCCGGCTGTGCAAGTCAAAACAATTGTTATCTTTAATCAGATTATTTATCAGTCTGATAATTTTTTTTATTTATTTTCAATAGAAATGCACCTTAAATATTTTTACAAATAGCTCATATCTAATTGAAAAGAAAAAGATGGTCTGAAAACCATATTCCTTTTCACGGACTGGAATACGCTAACACTAGGTGGAGAGATATGGTCTTTAGCTGTTGCATCACTTTTTGGTTTAGAAATTTTATAAAATTAGTACAAGAGTATAAAATAAATAACACATCGTTAGGGTCACTGAGTATGTTTTCTGAGGGTGCAAATGACGTGACAATCTTAAGTATTATAAACTCTAGACTAAATAAAAGGTCTCAAAATAACTGTACCTACGAGTAAGAGTGCTGAATCGTCTGTTGTCTGGCCATGGACCAGTGACGTCAGCAGCGTCACGGCCAAAACATACTGGAGTCCGAACATCCTGAGTGCGCCGTCCAAGTTTTGTGAGCAGACAACTGTTGCAGCTCTGCATCCCTCTATACTTATATCCTGAGCTCAAAATCTATTTTTAATTAAGTTTTTAATTTAGATCTTGCCGAGGCGCCATAGATTTTCCTGACTGTTTTCTCCTGGGCTGATGCAATGAACGGTTGTACGTCGATAGGGGCTGAATTCATCCTCTTTGCAGCCTGACGGCGTGAGATAAGGAATGCCGTTTGAAAACGGTTGCAGCTAACAATGTGGTGCTGAGGAGTCCAAATGAGAAAGCAAGCAAGCATGACTTTTGAAAAGTTTCACAATGTCTCGCAAAAATGGATAAAATGTTCCCTTCTTTTAGCACACCTGCCATTCTGACTCGATATTTGCTTTAATACGCTTCCTATAACATCTGGTTGTCAGATAGTAATAAAACTAGTTAAAAATTCTCTTCGCACAATGATTAATGTTTTGACCATAGGGCAACATTTTCTTCTCCTACCATTGCAAAATCTAAAATCCATTGGGAGTTTGATAAATCTCAGCGTGCAGATCGAGACCAGCACCTTAGACAGGTAAAGTAGCACACCTGTTGAAATATCATTATGGAAGCAGTAATTTTCCCTAGAACAAAAGCATATCTTTATGAAAGAGTCTTTCAACAGTATAGCCATCATAGACAGTTTCTAATGAAGACCAGGGCTGAAGTTTTTGTTTCGATACGTCTCTTGACGGCCACCGAGCCCCATGGTGTGCAGTCCATGACGGAACACCAAATCGCCGGAGTATCACATAGACAAAGAGGGGAAACATAAGAGGAGTCTTAGGATCATCAGGTTAGAAACTTGACCCTGCAGACAAAAAAAATCTTAAAGAAAGAGATGGATTGGAAACAGTGTCCTTCAATCACAGTTACGTCCAAGATGACTTGATAAGTGATGAACAAATGCAAATAGTCTCATAAGAGCCAGCTCACGCAGGAAGAGTAAAGAAAACTTCCCAAACCGTAATGCAACTATGGTTATTATTCGCATCGTCTTTATTGCATTCAAAAAGCCTTGCGGTATTTTATTTTCATTTAGCTTATACATTCATTTATTTAATTTTTTTTGAGGGGGAGGGCGGTGTGCTTGGAGGGTTGAATAGTGTACGGTGATGCATGGCCGTATCTCCACTCAATCAATTTTGTCTTTAACCCTCGGTTGACAGATTAATTAAGAAAGACCATGTGCACTATGGATTTTAAAAGTAGTTTATGGCAAAGTCGTTAAAGCTTTCAGTTAACAAAAACCTTCTCGGGTTGTCCCCCTTGTCCACCTATAGATCCCAACCCCCCCNCCATGTCCACCAATAGATCCCTCCCCCCACCAATGTTCACCAATAGATCCCTACCCCTCCCACAAACCCCAAACAGCCTCACCACCCCTCCCCCCACTCTACTGACTATTATTTTCACAGCCGACCATCTTAGTAACACAATAACCTGCAGGCTGTCACACATCCCTTCCCCGACCCCAATTACCCAAACAATCTGCCCCGCTGTCAAAGATCCCTTCCCCGACCCCAATTACCCAAACAGTGGTCCAGAATCCTAATGCATGTTTTTTTTTGTTTTTTTTTTAATATAATACAAATGTGTTTAAAAAAAAACAACTAAATATTGACCGTGAATTGGTTTAAGCTCATATGTGTAGATTCTTTTTTTTTAGAAAAAAAAATGATAATACATTTTCTATTCAAATTTTCCTCGCAATGTGACGCAATTTTTTTATATTTTTTTTTAAAAAACAATATGAACCAATGCCACCAATTCAACATCTTCTTAAAAAGAAATGACCATGTTCTCGTAATGAATTGCTCCACCAGCGAGCTGTGTTAAATGAAGGTCAGTTGGTGAAGGATTGAGCGGGTCGTTTTTTCGTTGTGAGTTAATTAGTGGTCAGAAGTGCATTGCACACTGTTGACGCTATTATAGGTGCTAACCAGCGGGTTTTCCTTTAACTTTTCTCTTGTATAAAGTCGATGGACATGAATTTTTTGTTGTTGTTGTTTTTTTGGTTGTTTTTTTTTTATTGTTTGTTTGGTTTTTTTTTATTGATTTTTTTGTTGTTTTCTTTGTGTTGTTTGTTTTTGTGTTGTTTTTTTTTCACCGCGGTTTTCCTTGTTGTCCTAGAAAACTACTGGACATGTTGGATTTTTTAGTTTTCTGTGAATCCTTGTGGGTGGTTGTTATGTCTGTTGATGTCAGTCTGTTCAGCCTACGCTATTTCAAAAACTATCTACAGTATGTAAATATTTCATCGAAAAAACAAAATACTTTTGTCCCTATTAAAAAAAAGTATTAAAAAAAATTAAGGTGTTAAAAAAATATCTTTTCCTTAATGTATCCTGGCTCGTCTCTCCTTACACACTCTAACGTAATCCCATCCCTGGGAAGCTATATTAAATAATAATTGTTGCCATATCTCCGCGTAAATATAGTCTTACATATCATTATTGTTGGACATTATTATTTTTTTTGAAAAAACTATTATGATATATATATAGTTGGGATATTATAATTTGTTTTTCTCAATCGTTGCTGTTGGAGCAAGCCACTGCTTGGTGATTAAATGCCCACGAGATATTTTTGCCTTTGGGGCCATTGTTGTCGTCTTTAATTCAGGGAACTTAGAGAAACTAAAGTGTATGCACCGTAGAAAGATGAAGCAATAAACAAATGAATGCAAAATGTATTTGTACTTTCTAACTTAACTATTTTATATTCATGTATTTATATGTTTTGAGCACACTATTTATTTCTGAGTACTTGTGATTCAAGTTGACGCAGGGAGAATGAATGTAAAGCCGTCAATTGTTTAAAAGAATACGATTTTTCTAAAGTACTTTATCATATTTTTTTTTTTTTAGTTTCTTGATTACTCCTCTTTAGTTAATCTTCACAATTTTTTTGGTTCACTTTTCTTAATAGAAACAAAAGAAAACTTTTTTTGTTAACTGTTTACATTACGCTTGCCTTAACGTTTCTTCTAAAAAAATATAAACTACGTGAAAGATAAACACACGTAATACTTTTAATGACAGCCCTCAAACCACCAACCCTGCTGCACTGGTCAATTGAAATGGGTGCTGGGTGGCCGAATGGTCTACACTGACCAAATCTCAAGATGGGGGTTTTGAGCTCAATACCAGCCAAAGCCCAGTCAAGCACCCCAGGTGGATGGGGCTCGTTAGCCTTTGAACGCATCTCATCTAAGAGAAAGCCAACTCCTAATTCAAAGCAGGAGCCAAAACGATCAAAGAATTGATCGTTGGCCCTTAAATATGAAAAAAATGGGTGGGGGTTGATTTAGATAGGATACGTTTTAGCAGGAACACGCTTAAAGAAAGGTCGAAGAATATACCAATAGACTATACCAATAGAATATACCAATAGAATATACCAATAGACTATACCAATAGAATATACCAATAGACTATACCAATAGAATATACCAATAGAATATACCAATAGAATATACCAATAGAATATACCAATAGAATATACCAATAGAATATACCAATAGAATATACCAATAGAATATACCAATAGAATATACCAATAGAATATACCAATAGAATATACCAATAGAATATACCAATAGAATATACCAATAGAATATACCAATAGAATATACCAATAGAATATACCAATAGAATATACCAATAGAATATACCAATAGAATATACCAATAGAATATATATCAATAGTATAAATCAATAAAGTTATTTAATTTTTGCTTGGTAATAATAGCGAACATAAAGTACAGTGTCTAAAGTACTGGGTAAAAAAGAGGGATAAAACATGCTTGAGATACTACAAACAATCTAATCATAAAATTGATCACAGATATTCGAGGATATATCCAAAAATTGTGCTGTTAGTTGACACGCCATCGATTATGTGAATGTGTTCCTCTGATAAGTTTACCGTGGGCCTGGTTCATAGTTCATCAGCATCAATTATGATTCCACGACGTTTCCAATTTGTTGTCCAAAAAAAAAAATTTGGGTTATTTGAATAGTCAGTAAATAATTATAAGAAGTAACTAACATTGAATATACTTCTGGATTTAAGTTTTTTCTTTTCAGTATGGTAAAGCAGGCCAGGGCGCAATTCTTACAATAAATCTAATGTTGCCGTGTGGTCAAATTCGGTGCGCATAATTCTTAATCCCAATCCCAATTATTTTGTTACTAAGACTTCATTTTTATTTATTGCTCCAAGACTTATCTCGGTTTCGTCTGCTAGACCACTCTTCAAATCTTCATCATCTGGATTTTCCTCACGAATTGTACTTTCTTTGTTTTTGCTTTGGAGTTCAATCTCAAATGTGTTTTGCTGAGAAATTCGAAAGTTTCACACCAGACTCTTAGGATCGAGGCATGCCATAAATGGCAGCTATCTTACCGTTTTCTTAATTTTTTTGTTTATTGCACAAACTATTCAAAGCGGTCTTAAAAGCCTAAATATTAACAACAGTACGCATTTTGTGTTTAAATTTGATCAAACTCTGGTTAAGCATCTGCAAATTACTTACCATGAACATTCCGTTTTCTAAAAGGCACATGAAGTACCCGTGTTGCAACCTTAAATTTATCTTGCTCTTCATATAACTGGGCATTTGCTGAATTGTGTTTTTCATATAACTGGGCATTTGCTGAATTGTGTTCTTTGTATAACTGGGCATTTGCTGAATTGTGTTCTTTATAAAACTGGGCATTTGCTGAATTGTGTTCTTTATAAAACTGGGCATTTGCTGAATTGTGTTGTTTATATAAGGGGCATTTGCTGAATTGCGTTCTTTATATAACTGGGCATTTGCTGAATTGTGTTCTTTATATAACTGGGCATTTGCTGAATTGTGTTCTTTATATAACTTGGCATTTGCTGAATTGTGTTCTTTGTATAGCTGGACATTTGCTGAATTGTGTTCTTTATATAACTGGGCATTTGCTGAATTTTGTTCTTTATATAACTGGGCATTTGCTGAATTGTGTTCTTTATATAACTGGGCATTTGCTGAATTGTGTTCTTTATATAACTGGGCATTTGCTGAATTGTGTTCTTTATATAACTGGGCATTTACTGAATTGTGTTCTTTGTATAGCTGGGCATTTGATGAATTGTGTTCCTTATATAACTGTGCATTTGCTGAGTTGGGTTCTTTATATAACAGGGCATTTGCTCAATTGGTGAAATTGTGTTTCTCTTTCATTAAAAAATAATAATTTTTGTGAAATGATGTTCAATATTAACATTTTCCCCCCTCATTTTTCTTATCTTACAACAAGACACATAATATATTTTGTTGCACTATTTTGAAAGTGAAATGTGTTTTGATAAATTCACAAAGAATATTTATTAAGTTAACATAGTAAGTAACATCACACATACAAATAACTCTTTAAATTCTTTACTTGCAATTGTAATTTTACAATCGAATGAGCATTTTGCGCGATATTTGGACATTACAAACTTGGGTCATGGAAGTGTCAGAAGATTTTAAGTTAATGAAGTATCTTTACACCGCAATCAAACATTTCAAGAGATGTCGTCTACTGTTACAAAATAAGAATATTTTTAAAAAAATTCTCATTAGCCCCACCCCCCTGGCCCCCCCCACCCAACCCCCCCCCACCAAACTATCAGTCCATGGGTTGATCCCGACCGTTTGATAGGTCGATCCGCACTTGACTTAACGTGGGCCACACACTCAAAAATGTTTCACTTACGCAGATTTAAGCACGTACTGATCCACCCAGGTACTGTATTGGCAGGTAGAGCAACACGCAGATATTTTATGACACGCGTATACCAAAATGCACAGATAAATGTAATGCACGCATTGTCCAGCACGGATATTGTAAAGTTAATCTACGGGACACGTGCTTGATATTAGATATTACGTCAACTCTATCTGGCGCCCGGACTTTCGTTTTCATCTGTCACTCAGTATTTGAAGCATAGTCAACACATTCAAAATCTTTCCGCTATCGTTGCTGTATGATTCTGTGAATTAAAGTTCTTAAAGGTTGCTAACTTGTGGTGTGTCCTTTTTTTTAAAAATTCAATTTTTAATTCAAGTAAAAATACTAATAATTGGATTGGTGAAGTAATTGGGGCGACAACAATTTTTTTATTGATTTCAAAACAAAAAACAAACAAACAAAAACACAAAATTGTTTTTTTTATAAATTCGTGAACTAAAGCCGGGTGCTTCAGTGTTTGAAAAAAAAAACACGATTCTAATTTCAGACTTCATTTCAATATTCCAATTCGACGTAAATCTTGTCATGCAAATGGTGTTTTCACCTAGGGATATAAAAAGGATATTAACTTTTTTTCTTCTTCATTTTATTTTGAACTGTGGCACACTTATATCAATTCATTTTAAAGAAAATTAATTTTACGACTACAAATTTAAGTGTTTGGCCTGATGTCCAGATCAAGGCTTTCCTGATTTGATCATTAAAAAAAAAAATCGATGTTTTTACATTTTAAAATCAAAATCGCAAAGAATCACAATTTCTTATTTTAATTTAACTCAAGTGTAACAATGAGACTGCAGGCTAGATATCTGAATGCACAAACCTTATTTTGTTAAATCAACTCGCATTGCTTTCCCTTAAAGCGCTTTCCGCATAAACAGGTTGCTTCCCCATTCTCTATCTTGCACCTGCCTCCATTATAACAGATGTACTCTTCACACAAGTCGATATCTGTAAGTATTTTTTTTTTTAATGTATTCAACATGTTTTGTGATGTAATTGTCATTATCTTTATAATTGCTATAAAAGCAATATTCTTATAAAATATTGATACTGGTTTGTGATTTAAAAGTTTTTTACAAATATATATCATAATTCAATCAAAACTAATTATAATTGTACAAACAAATTTTCTACCAAACTCACATATTTTCTCCCAACCTCAAATATTTTCTGCGAATCTCACATATTTTCTGTCAACACCACATCTTTTCTGCCAACTCCAAATATTTTCGCTAACCCCCATATTTTCTGCCAAACCCCCATATTTTCTGCCAAACCCCCATATTTTCTGCCAAACCCCCATATTTTCTGCCAAACCCCCATATTTTCTGCCAAACCCCCATATTTTCTGCCAAACCCCCATATTTTCTGCCAACACAAGCTAGGGGTTATATTGGGATTCTCTTATGCTTTTTTTAAATCCATTCTGTTTTTGCTTTTTTTTTTTTTTTTGCTAACTCTTTGTCACCAAATGTTTGTCCCAAAAAATAAATAGTCTTAACAGACCTACTCCAGCCATTTCAAGATTAATTTTTCTTTAGAATGCTGTTAATATCAAAATGAATTTACTTTAACACCAATAATAAGTTGTTAGAAAGTTGAGAACTGTTGACATGACGGTTTTAATGTTGAGGATTTTTTTTTTCTGAATGTCGGTAAAATGGTTTGTTGAAACACGGAACAGATTAAGTCGGAGACTTCATTGATCGAATCTAATGCATTTGAGCAATTCGTTAAAAAAAAATAAACAACAACAACAACTTAATTTTATATGCAAACCTTTCCATTTAAAAAAAAATAATTATATCTTTTCCTGGACCATTAACATTCGTTAAAGATTTATTCAGGTAAGTTAAGTAGATCAAAAGTATAGCACTCGCCTTCACACTTCAGGCCTCTAAAGCCTCTTGGGCAGTTACAGATGGGAACTTCATCCACTGTAACGCATTCTCCGCCATTGTAGCATTTGAAGTATGTACAGATCTCAGAGATATCCTCTAAATAGAAAAACAAATTTGATTTTATTTTATTGGAAAAAAGATTACTGGATATCATCTAAGGCAGGCCTGCACAACATGTGGCCCGCCAACACCCACTTTGTGGCCCGCGAGGTAACGAAATAATCTTTATTTTTTAAAAATTATTTTCTGAATAGCTTTCCCCCTTGTCCTATATTCTTTTGGCCCGCACAAGTCCTTTCCTATTTTGTTTTGGCCCGCACATGTTTTTCATAAAGCATTACGGCCAACCTTACATTTTGAGTTGTGCAGGCCTAAGGCATTGTTCAACAAACTCAGAATAGAAATTTAACTTACGATTACCCACTATTTAAATAGTAACATAAATATGCATTAATTATGTTGATATGAGAACTAACCATAGTCGCATCTGCTAATAGCGTTTCATATTTCAGTAGACCCTATTAATTATAAGACAATTAAATTACTCATTTAAATACATTTTAAAAAGTGACAGACCATTATGAACAATAATTTACATATTAAAGAATATTGAAGTAAATATCGCCACTCTTGGAAAAGGATTTATAGCTTGGGTGTGTAAGAGATCCCTGCATGAATTGAACGGATTTTGCATGCTTCCGTTAGGTACTTTAGATAACTTCTAAAATGTCATCATTAATGGCGCTACAGCCCATGTAGGGCCCTGGCCTGCTCCACCATACCCTTTCATTCGGATCGATCCATTGCTTTCCGCCTCCTTGCGCGAACCACCAACTGGTGTAAATCCTTCTCTACATCGTCAATCCATCTCAGTCTTGGGCGATCGGTGAGCCGTCTGCCACTACGCTTTTGCCTATATATCCCCTTTGCTGCTCTACAATTCGGCAGCCTTTCAATATGTCATACGAAGCGCAGTCTGCCTTTCTTTTAGTGTTGCGACTATGGGTGGGTCTTTGTACAACTGGTATAGCTCTTGGTTTAAACGAATTCTTCAGACATGATTGTCTATCACTGGGTCATATATTTTCCCCAAGCTTTTCCTCTCCCGTGTATTGAGCAGGTTCTCTTCTTTTCTGGTAAGGGTCAAAGTCTCACTAACATAAGTTACTACTCGTCTTATGATAGTGGGGTAGAGGGTCTTCCTTGTTCCCCTTGAGAGTTTTTTTCCCAGTAGCTTTTGTAGTCTGAGATAAAAACGGTTACCTGCTGTTATCCTCTTTTTGGTCACCTCCGACATTATTTCATTTTGCTCGTTTATAGTCGCCCCTAGATATTTGAAATATATTTCTCAAACATGTGATTGTTTGTATTGCTGTTTCATCAGCGTCAGTGTTTTGTGAGTGTTTTGTGAGTGTTTTGTGAGTGTTTTGTGAGTGTTTTGTGAGTGTTTTGTGAGTGTTTTGTGAGTGTTTTGTGAGTGTTTTGTGAGTGTTTTGTGAGTGTTTTGTGAGTGTTTTGTGAGTGTTTTGTGACAGTATCATAGACTTTGTCTGCGCTTAATTTACATCACGACCAGCTTTGACTGAGTCATCTTCAAGTTACCTGAACGCTTTAATTAAGTCATTTCTGTTTCTGCCCAGCAGCGCCTTATCGTCTGCCTATGCCAGGTACTACAATATCTTGCTCTATAAAGTTCCTGATGTTTGCTGTCTTGTTATACATCACTGGAAGTATCTTGTTATGGCTCCACTGGTGCTCGCGTGTATGCTTCTTATAATTTTGTCTCGGGTGGTGTTAAAAGGGAAACATGATAGTGAATCTCCTTGTCTGAGGCCCTGATTAACTGGGAACTCCCTTGAGTATTCTCCCTGTACCTTGAATCTAAAAGAAAACTTCTAAGAGAACAACTGATATATAAGCAAAACATAAAGGGCTTGTAAAAGATTTGAAAGCTTCCTACCTTGTTCTTCACAGAGATTACCGACGAATCCGTCAGGGCACGCACACGACTCATTGCCATTTGTGTTAATCTGGCACACCCCTCCGTTATCGCACTTCAAAGTACATTTTCTAGGCTTCCCTAAAATACAAAATGTTTTGAGGGAAGGTAATCATGGGGCGAGACTGCAATCAGGGTTATTGGTAAAAGGAAATGAGCGAAAAAAGAATGGGAAAACAAACTATGGGAAATCAAAGTATGGGAAAACAAAGTTCTCTCGGATAACAGTGCAGCAAAGTGTTTATGTTTATTTGTATTTTTTTTTTACGGTTGTTTGTTCGCCGAAGAATGCGAAGTTTTGTTGCGTCCTTTCCCCTCCCCCCCCCCAACCCCCCAAATAGGTTTTCCCATATATTGAATCACTCATTTAGTTTTTGAGAACCAGGTAGAGTAGGATTAAAATTAAATTCAAAGTAGGCAAGAAAATAAACCTGTTTGGAATATTTATAGCCAAAATAACGGCCGATGAAGGAGACATGTTTGAAATTTCAGATAGAAGCGGATCATCAGCCAGGTACTGAGGATTATATAGTGTTTATTGGATCATGGAATACCAGAGATGGAATCGCAAAGGTGTTCGATTTTAGCTTTTGTTAATTGCATTGTCGTCCAATACAAAGTATTTGTAATAAAGGAAAAAAATTATATTTCATTATTTTATTCATTAAAGAAAAAAATATATGTTTAAATAATGCGCTAATATTTTTCCTAATATATTCTTATTGTATCACAAAAATCAGGTACATGAAACACTTCTTTTATTCGCTTAGATAACGGTTAATGTTAAGGTCCCAGCAAAAGACCCAGACTTGCCTACGATCTGACATAATTTCCCCGAGAAGCCTTCAGGACATGCACAGATGTAGTATCCACGGCCATCCTTCTTACACAATCCGTAATTGTCACATTTCAAATCGCCTCTAGAGCACTGGCTGTAAGGTCCTGCAAAAAATAGGTACTTTTTTAAATGGACGGTATTTATGCAACAGTGAAAAATGTCTCTTGCAAATATAATTACATCAACATTTGTTAATCTCTATCCATAATACCATAAATGGTTTGCTGATTACCTACTCCCTGATTTACCTACTCCCTGATTTACTTACTCCCTGTCTGTTACACCATACGACGTCTTTATTACGACAACGTCCTGTCGCCATCTTTGATTTTTCATCTACCAGTTATCAAAAAATGCGTGTTGTGAATTTTTTATAACCATAATGACAAAAATAACAGCATAAGACCGCATTTTAAATACAAAAATTTCGCATTGCAAAACGGTATGGGATGCTATGTGAATGATAAATGATTTTACAAAACAAGCCTGGAGCGTTGCTGGTGTCGTTAGGGTTATTAAAAATCGAAAACGACAGTACAACAAAACGTAAACTCGGAAGTGGTTGTCTCAAATCTGCTAGATCCCGACAGAACATTGAGTGGGGGAGTGAGCTAACTACAGTCAAGGTGATAATCCTCACAGTCACAAGAGTCCGCGGGGAAACTGAAAGAGAAACGAGTGTACCACCTTCTGCGGTGCAACCTGTTGTAGAGTGAGATCTACAGCTTAGAACGGAAAGGCCTGTCATCGGGCAGCTGCTCAAACAAAAAATAAATTCATATTGAAACGGTTTGCTACGCAGAACGATTTCCTAATGAGAGTAGTGTACGAAGCAATTGGTTTACAGACGAGAATACATTAGCCATTGCAACGCCAGTTAATTCTCAAAGTGTTATTCAGTGGAATCAAAGAAATGGCAAGTTCCAGTAGAGGAGACTTATACGAGAACGTGAACATTTCAACTGCGGTATCATGTTATCAGTTGGTGTGTCTCGAATGGCATCAGTGGTGTGTCTCGAATGGTATCATTTGGTTTGTCTAGAATGGTATCATTTGGTGTCTCTGGAATGGTATCATTTGGTGTGTCTAAGATTGTTTCTGTTGGCGTGTCTCGAATGGTATCAGATAGAGGGTCTAAAACCGGGAAAGCTAAGGTTGTGTTCGTTGAACCAGGTGCCAGAGTGAGCAGTGAATATCATTGTGAACATGTTCCCAGGCGAGCTTAGCTGCTTGCTATTTAAGCGACATGTGGTCGGTCTAATTGGGCAATGTATAGCAGGCTCAGGGTTCCAGCTCACACCGTCAGAAATACGATAAACTTTCTTCATCGGGAGAATGTTAGCATCATCGAGCCAAACATGTGGCCACCGCACAGTCCTGATTTTAAGCCCTGTCTATCAAGCCATATGGGGTGCAATGCAAGAAAAAAAGTCAACGGTTGGCTGAAATTGACCACAGCAGAGCAGCTCAAGTTGGCAATAATTGAGGAATGGGGAAATCTAGGACAGCTATTGACACAAGCATAGTCGAGTGACGCCAACGCTTAAGAATGTTGATAAGCAGGTAAGACGCATTTCCTGCTTTCTGATAAGCGTTACTTACACCTGTCAGGCAACTTTAAAAGGCAAAACATTTGATTAATTCCTGCTTTCTGATAAGCGTTACTTACACCTGTCAGGCAACTTTAAAAGGCAAAACATTTGATTAATTCCTGCTTTCTGATAAGCGTTACTTACACCTGTCAGGCAACTTTCAAAGGCAAAACATTTGATTAATTCAAGTACGTTAAATAGCCCTTTGCTACGAGATGTTCTCACATTTCTTTTTTGGGGTGGGGGTTGTGGCACCCTGTATACCAGATAAATATTTTAACAAACTTTATTACATTTAATCTTTCTAAGAATTTATCACAATTATTCTTTTTGTATTTTTTTTTATATTCTCTTCATTTCGTCCAACCTTGGTCTTTTTTTTAATGAAATAAATTAATATTGGTTAAATTAAAAAAAAAATGATTTTGATTAGAGGAAGACAGACTGAATTGTTTTACCATATAAATTAAACAATGAGAATTATATTTGTTAAAAATCAATTGTTAAAAAAAAAGAAACGATACAGTGATAAGTGCTGTAAAAATACAACAACACCTTTCATAAGTTTAATTCTTTTTTCTTTCTTTTTTTTTTTTAACAAATATGTTATTTGACTTTTGAGATATTTTGGCTAAATACTTAAAAAATGAGAATCTGATTATAAAGTCACGTGGCAGTCTAAGTACCCGTCAATGTTAGCTCCTGTTCTGAAGCACCCATACACGTCACCACCAGTATTGTAGCACAAACGGTCACTACGAGATTGAAGCGTGCAGACATATTTACCTCGGCTTGTCCTCTGCACGGTAATGGCGCAATCTTTGTTCGTGCGTTTACAGCATCGACCACACGCTCTTGTTGATCATCAGATCAATGGCCAATTAAACAGTTTTAATTATGAGACCTCCCAGAAAACAGCGTTTACAGCGTTTTCAGAAGGTTGTAACTTAGAGCGCGCATGAAGATCATTGACTGGGGGTGGCCGGTTTTTTCACATGCCTTGGAAATGACTATGAAGATATACACTTTGGGTGTTCTTCATCTAATTTCGCTTCTTTCCTTGTGTCAATGAGTTTGCAAACGTCGTTATGGCTATTTTCATTAGGGTTTTTACACTGACCGTTCTCAGAAGCCGCTGGCTACCCACTGCCACTGCGTGCCGGATCCACCTAACCTCTGTCGTTTTACCACGCCCTAAGCCTTGTGTCTGGGTTTATCCCCCAACCTGCAAAGTGTCGAACTGAATTCAAAACCCGTTTGTGAGAAACTTGAGTGCTTAGCTGTAATTTGCTGTGGAGCGTACAAGCTGGCGAGACAGACTCACTGTCGGAGCACTTTCTTCAGGGAGTAAACGCATCGTCAGCACTCAAAGAAAGCGCACAGCAAGGAAATGCAGAATCGACCGATTCCCAACAAGGACGAACCCCCCCCCCCCTCCAATTACCGCCATTAAAAAACAATTTAAGGGAGTAAACGCATCGTCAGCACTCAAAAAAAGCGCACAGCAAGGAAATGCAGAATCGACCGATTCCCAACAAGGACGAACCCCCCCCCCCTCCAATTACCGCCATTAAAAAACAATTTTTCCTAGGTTGCGGAAAGCTTTCCACGAACAAAAAGGACTCACCGTTGAAAATTGCGTTGGTCACACTGTTGAAAGGCACTCAAAATACTAAATCATCCTTTCCTGGGGCATAAGAGCCATTATTAAGGGCAAAGAGAGGCAACCCAAATCAAAAGATTTCGGAGTTGGAACGGTATAAAATTGAATCAATGAAAATTCCAACAACCCCAGCGTGTCCCTGGCGCCAAGCTGCATAATCCACTTATTTGATAATCCCTTGGGTTCACCAGTGGCGTAGACAAAGGAGTTCTGCTGACCGGGAGACAGCTTATTCTTCATAACAACCAAGACATCGCCCCCCCCCCCCTTTTTTTTCTCCCCCACTTCGGACTTGTGATTTAGTTCAGCGAAAAAAAAATATATTTTGAAATTATATTTTAAAAAAAAAGTTTTAAAAAAAAACCAGCAACATTTTTTAAGCATGTGGATTTAACTGTCTGAGACAGGGGTCGGGAACCATTTGGTATCAGCGTGCCCAAATTAATACTTCCAATTCATTCAGCTTGCCAATAGCTTGTAAGTCTACCATTTGAGACGCATGCTTAGTCGTTTATGACTATCTTGTTTGGTCTTCAGCGTGTCGCTGAAAATCGCTATACGTGCCACATGTGGCACACGTGCTGCAGATCGCCGACCCCCGGTCTGGGATTTCATAATAGAGAAAACAACGTCGGTGAAAATGTAGATACATCTACATATTACTGCTTGGAAAATTCTCTTTGGCAAACATATCTATGTGGCGTTCTCAAAACATGTCGTTGTTGGAAGAGATTCTTAGCTCTAGATTATACAGTTCTAAAATAAATGCATGAGAAGACGTTTAAAGTAACACTTTGTATTTATTGAAATCTATTACCAAACCATCATTTTTTTTCCTCCCCAAGTATTTACTACGGTACTAGTGTACTTTTCTTGAGAATCACCATCTGAGCTGCCTAAACCTGCCGATGTACAATAAGACAGTAAATTTTTAAAAAAAAATGTATTTCAGTTCAGTTTATGTTGTTTGTGTGTATGTGTTTATTACGGGTTCAGAATTTGACATTTCAAAACAGGCGCCCGTTTCATACACCATACAAACCTCTATAAGTGGATTCAATTATAGACCTATCATAGATTATGAAGAAGAAAAAGAAATCCCCTTATTGAGTTCACGGTTCCTACAAGACATTATGGCTCCGTCACCTTATTGAGTTCACGGTTCCTACAAGACATTATGGCTCCGCGGGCTAAACCAATACGGTTAGAACAAATGAAAGAACCGTGTTGAAAGTGCTTTTTTTGTGTGCAGATTTGAGATAAATGGGTTTAGAATGTTTAATGTTAATTTGAGGCATCTTAATATCCTATTTATTATTTAAAGGGATGCCATTTCAAGCCATTCATTGTCTTATTCAATTTTAAGCTTTGGATTTAAAAAAAAAAAAAAATTAATGTCTCAGACGCCAAAAATATGAAATTATAGCACAGACCTCGAGCGTTATAAAATCAGCTCGCATTGCTTTCCCTTAAACTGTTTGGGACACACGCATGTGGGTCCTCCATTCTCAATCCTGCACGTGCCGCTGTTGTAGCAGATGTAATCTTCACAATAGTTAATATCTAGAAAGTAGGAGAGGTGCGAGATTTAATCATAGCATTCCCAAATAATACCAAGAAATCTACCAACTCATTTATTTATCCTTGGTTTGTACGTGCTAAATATAAAAGGTTAAAGTTCACACAACTGTTGTAGTTCATTGTTACTATGAACTTGGGGGCAGAGCCGGAAATGACACGTGCCGCGCACGAGAATTGAAATCAAATTTTTGCAGCCTTTTGTAAATGAAAAAAATAAATGCCCGCTTTTACATTAAAGTTTAATTTCAAATATGAATACGCATGATCTTCTTTCTTAATTTAATCTTATTTAGTAGTAATAGTTAGGATTAAAATGAATTGTGTCGCATTCAACTTTCCATTCGCTATAACTGAATTTAAAAAAAAAAAAATAATTGAAAAAATGGGGCTGCGCTCCAAAGTTTTAACTAGCATACAAGAGTTGTTGATAGAAACGAATTATTCAGCTTATTTCAAGCACCCGCCTTGACATCTTCGACCTGTAAAGCCTTTGGTGCAGATACAGATGGGGACTTCCTCTAATACATTGCATTGTCCCCCGTTGTAGCAATCAAAATATGAGCAGCGCAGAGCGATGTCTGGAAAAACAAAAACATAACAAAGTATACAGATTTATTTTCGGCTTACATAGTAAAAAAAAAAAACATCTTATAGGCCCTATCGCTGTCCATCGCCGAAAAATATCGTGTTAGTGATTTGATCTTGAGTTTTTTTTAAGTGCGAGATTAAGTTGGAGGTTGAGTTCGTCCAATGCAGCAATCAAGTAGTAGCCGATGGTCATGTACCCGTTAGCAGCTATTTTATGGCCGAATGCCAGGCCTCGGAGAAATTTCTCTAGATTTTGAGAATCTACTACCCCTTTGTGAAGTGGGAAATATTGTTAAAAATGTGGATAAAAATTGAGAAATAAAAATAGAAAGCAACTTGGCACTGTATGATAACAGAGGCCGACAACGCAAAAGTAGCTGATGGCACACCGTCCCCAAAAGAAATCCAGAACCTACAGAAAACAATTAGCGAATAGTGAAATAACAACCTAACAAAATAAATAAAACAGCAAAAAAAAAAAAAAAAAAAAAAAAAAAAAAAAAAAAAAAAAGTAGCTGATGGCACACCGTCCCCAAAAGAAATCCAGAACCTAAAGAAAACAATTAGCGAATAGTGAAATAACAACCTAACAAAATAAATAAAACAGCAAAAAAAAAAAAACAAAAAAAAAAAACGAACGTAATGAAATTAGAAGTGAGTACCCACCTTCATCGTTACACCGTCTTCCGCTAAACCCATCGGGACACGCGCATGTCGTCTTACCATTTTTAATCTGGCACACCCCTTCGTTTTGACACCTCAGAACACATTTTCGAGGTATCCCTGGAATAAGGAGTATTTTGTCACGCGAACTGGCAAAAAAACAATAACTCTCAAAATGGTTCATTCGGGGCATTAAGTTAACATCACGTTTCTTAAAGTGCCACCAATCATCCGCAGTCATTGATATCTCAGAGAAACAGCCCCACGAAACACATGATGTATACACCGGGAATAGGAACATGCAGGCTAACGCACACTTTTAGAGAAACATTTAAACGAACGGACGCTTCATATTGCTTCAACCCCAACCCAGCCCACTCCCAACCCCCCCCCCTTTAACCCCCACCCCAGATAAGTACACAGACATTTACAGAAAAAATTGTTCAACTCAAACCTGACCCAACATACAGCTGCTCTCGCCGGAGAAGCCGAAAGCTCGTGAATGAGAACTGAATAAATGAAGTACAACACATTTTAATTTTTAAATTTTTTTTTTTACCAGCTTCATTTCGTGTAATTAACCTCTTATAGCTAAATGTTAAACTAACTATATTAAATTTAAAATAAAAAAAAAATTAATATTATAATTTAATCTCACAACTATTTTTGTTTAAAGTCCCATACTTGCCTACAATCTGACATAATTTCCCCGAGTAGCCCTCGGGACATTCACAGATGTAGGAACCACGGACATCCTTCTTACACACTCCGTTGTTGCGACAGAGCACATCAGAACCCGCGCACTGACTGTAAGGTCCTAAAAATCAATGTAACATTTCAAACAATAATTTTATTAACTAGAGGATTAATTAGAAGTCGATTTTAATCCGATTAGATAAGAAATTTACATTAAAAGTTACATTAGCTTGAGCAACCTCCTGTAACATTGCCTGTCTTATCTGAACAACCTCCTGTATCATTGACATTCTTACCTGAACCACCTACTGTATCATTGACCCTCTTACCTGAACCACCTCCTGTGTCATTGACCCTCTTGGCTGAACCACCTCCTGTAAAACTGGCTCACTTACCTGAACCACCTCCTCCTGCACACGGATCGGCCACCGTCACAACACACACCACCCACAGGAAACAAAGGCATGAAAACATTCTCCCAAACACCTTTCTCCCGGCTATGTTAGGCAGACTGCTGTGTCCATCCACTGCGTCGACTACACACTTTCGCTCCTGATTAGATCAATGACCAATTAACAGTTTTCTTTTAAACCACACGTCAAACATTTTCAATGTTAGTCCTCAGCTTTTGCGTTAAGCCCAGAGCCATTGTTAACTTTAAATTGTGCAAAATAATCGTAACTGATAGTTTTTTTTAGTTGATTTGTAGAATAATCTGAAAGCTATTTTTGAATACACGTGACTCGAAAAAACATCTACCGGGTGCGGGGACCTTTGAACCTCAGCAGACCCTGGCAACGTAACTCTCCTCTCCTAATGGATAATCCGGCCCTAGTCAAGCAATATCATGGTTTTTCCTTTCATTATTTGAAAGGACTTAATGTGTGGAATATTTCCGATAACCTACATATAGAAGAAACTTATGTTTATATTTTTTTTCCTTCCTCTGGTGTTAAGTTTATTTCTGTCTGCCTCTGGTGTTAAGTTTATTTCTGTCTGCCTCTGGTGTTAAGTTTATTTCTGCCTGTCTCTGGTGTTAAGTTTATTTCTGCCTGTGTCTGGTGTTAAGTTTATTTCTGTCTGCCTCTGGTGTTACTGTTTATTTCTGTCTGCCTCTGGTGTCATGTTTATTTCTGTCTGCCTCTGGTGTCATGTTTATTTCTGTCTGCCTCTGGCGTTACTGTTTATTTCTGTCTGCCTCTGGTGTTACTGTTTATTTCTGTCTGCCTCTGGTGTCATGTTTATTTCTGTCTCTCTGGTGTTACTGTTTATTTCTGTCTGCTTCTGGTGTTACTGTTTATTTCTGTCTTCTTCAGGCGTGATTGGCACCAGCAGCAGTCAGACGACGACGGTTGTTGTAGACATGATGAAACAAACCAACGTGCCGATTGTCGGCGTCTCGGCCACGTTACCGGAACTGAGCAACAAGACCAGGTACCCGGCGTTCGTGAGAACTATCCCGTCCGATTTCAAACAGGCTCAGGTAAACGAGCACATTGTATATTTATTTATTTATAGGCATTTTTATATAGCGCTTACCATAAAGCTCTAAGCGCTTTAAAATTATTAAAAACATGTAAACTAAGTAAAATAAAAATGAGACACTAGGATAGTAACTACTATACTATAGAAACAATGAAAATGGCTATAAAACGAGGACACTTTGACACGTTTTGGCAAATCCACAACATTACATTGCATTAATAAAAAAAATATGTCCATCAGGTCATCATAGAGATCGCCAAAGAGTTTAAGTGGTCGTACGTTATCGGAGTCCACACCAACGACAACTACGGCACGCAAGGGATGGCAGAGGTGAAGCGCTTGGCCTTAGAGAACGGCATCTGTGTGACCCACGTGGAGGAGTTCAAGCTAGGCGCGCAGCTAACTACAGAGCAGATGGAGTTCTTTGTGCGAAAGACACTGTTCACTAAGATCGACAGCACTACGGGAAGCATAGGTAAGCAATCATTTGATGATGCTACATTTATTTCTTTTTTTTCCAAGTCCATTCTAAGTTCTATGGCTGAGCCGGGTATTGATCTGGACATTCGGAAATGTCCCTCATACGCTGACATTTCCCGGACCAGGGCAGAGAAAGTGACCTGTTGGCCTGGGTGTTTAAAAAAAAAACATAGACACATTATTTTAACATTATGTTTGTCAGTGTAAAAAATAAACATGAATGCTACCAACATCCAGTGACCACTTACGCTATATTTTGCAGATCTGCTACGTGTTTTTTTTTCTTCTTTTGTTATGTTTTGGCGTTATATGTTGTTAGTGCTATCATCAAGCCTTGAAATGTGATGTTTTCTTGCAGTTTTCACTCTTCCCCATTGTATGGAACATGTCTCTAATTTTATATAGATAATTGATGAATCGTAATACTCTGACCGAGATCCATCAGGTATGGTCTCAAAACACAAAGATTGACACCTGGAGCAAAAACTGCACCCTGCTCAGCCCTAGTCCAGGGAATTTACATTGTACTTAATTATGATCCTAGAATATATGTATGAACTAGTTTAAAAGTATTTAAAATGTGTATAGAGTAGTAATAGGGCTACTAACACAAAGAAAAGAAAGCTTTACAAAAGAATGTATTGCTTTTAAGCTTGAGCTTTGTAACAGCACTGAATACCCGATACGTCCTATGGATATGATTGAAATTCAAACTTTGACAAGCGACTTTTCGACTATTCAACTAGTGGAAGCAAAATTAAATATAAGGGAATGCTCACACCGCCTATTTAATTTGGGTTGGTCCGAGGGCATATGTTTGCTAATAAATGAAATTAAATGATTTATTGGGTAGTGAATCTACAGTAATTTAATTATGACCTGCAAATACAATTAACCAATTATAAATGTTCAGGGAATGGAAACATGCCCATGAAATCTTCAAATTTTCATAAGAATTAAATTTTTTTTTTTTACATGATGCATACTTGTAATATTAGTTTGATAAAATCATGTATAAAGTCCACTTACAAAGTTCACTTAACACAGTCTTAAAATGTCAATATAGGTGTTATTTACTTTGGCACGGATGGACCTTTAAAAGAACTGCTGTCTTTCATCAAGCTTAAAAGAAGTAGTTGGACCAACGCACTAAACTACTTGAGAAAAATTCACTGGATTGCCACCGACGGTGTGACTCCAGCCCAAGAGCTTGGAGATTTGGTCGTTGATTATGGTACAAAATTTTTATTGTTGGGACCTGTTCAGCTCCAAATGAAGTCCTTTGAGGACTATTTTAAAAAGGTGTTGCAAGAACCGCCAGCATGGTTGACTGGACAGTGGCGTTTGGCTTGGAAATATGTCGTTGATAACACATATAAGTGAGTATTTACGTGTCGCTTACATAACCTTTACACCCCAGGGTCTCATGGTGACCATTGTCCCAAAGAAAAATTACAATAAAAAAGAAAAATGATGAGCTTCTTATCTTTTATGCTGTTGTATAAAAAATTTTGAGAGAACACATTGTTTGTATGTTATCACCTTATTGAGATCATGAGTGCTAGGCTTGTTAAAGTAATTTTGAAAAAAAAAATATTGAGAAAGCTTGGGGGAAGAGTTTATGAAGTGAAAATATTTATAAATAGGTATTAGTTGGGACATTTTTTTTTTCATGTTTATAATGATTTAACAACACAGAGACGTATGCTAGTGGCTCTCCTTATTTTCATCAGGTGTGCAAATTTCAACTTCACCAAGGATCCACCCTGTGATACAAATAATAAGGGTAATGAGAACGGCTACATGACCGCTGCCCTGGACGCCGTTTACCTGCTGGCCAACACGCTAAAGACGATCTTCAAGGCAGCATGCGATACAAAGCCAGGTAACGGATTGACGTTAAAGAATGTTTTGTCTGTGTTTATACTGTTTGCTTAAAAATACATCTTCAGGTCTACTATTAATTTTTTTCATTGGTTTTTGTAATCTTTCGTGTTTCATCTTAAATCACTAATCTTCAGTTAACGTTACAAAGAAAGAGTATTTAGCAAACTTAACATTTAAGTACGTTTTTTCATTAGTTTCTGCAATCTTTGGTGTTTCGTCTGAGTAAATCACTAATCTTTCGTTTATGTCGCTAAGAAAGAATATTAATTCTGTTAACTCAAAAGTAAAAGTAAATTTTAAAAAATAAAATAAATACCATTATACAACTTAAATTTAATGGCAGCAATGTTGCCTTTGAAAAAAAAATTAATTACTTCAGAGTCATATAAAAAATAAACATAAAAAAATGAAAAGATTAAAAAGAAAAAAAAGATTTATTAAATATCATAACATTTTAGTTTGCTGTGATTTCTTTACTTTTGTATTACTTCTACTAATTTAAAAAAGAAAATAATTAAAAAGCAGCACTGGAGGGATTAATAGAATTTTCGTAAAATATAGAATTGTATATATTACACCACAACATTAGGATACATTTTTTTTAGCTCGACTCCGTAACAGGTAACATTAAACTCGTACAAAGTATTGACCTCTTCCATTTCAGACACATGCTCCTATTTCAGAGAGATACTCCACACCGGTATACTGAAAACAAACAGCATAACCGATTTAGATTACGGATCGCTGGACGCTCACAACATTCCCCCGGAGTTCTCTAAGCCTGCTAGGTCCCTGAAGAAAGTTTCTGGTGACTTTGAAGCTGTGAATCAAACACTGTTTTCTATTAAAGCCAATAAAGACTCCAGTAGCTTTGTGGAGGTGAACGTTTTTTCATTGCTTTTTTGTTGTTTTTAAATGGAAATGTAGTTGTTGTTGTTGTTTTTAAATGGAAATGTAGTTGTTTTTGTTGTTTTTAAATGGAAATGTAGTTGTTGTTGTTGTTTTTAAATGGAAATGTAGTTGTTTTTGTTGTTTTTAAATGGAAATGTAGTTGTTGTTGTTGTTTTTAAATGGAAATGTAGTTGTTGTTGTTGTTTTTAAATGGAAATGTAGTTGTTGTTGTTGTTTGTAAATGGAAATGTAGTTGTTGTTGTTGTTTTTAAATGGAAATGTAGTTGTTGTTGTTGTTTTTAAATGGAAATGTAGTTGTTGTTGTTGTTTTTTAATGGAAATGTAGTTGTTGTTGTTGTTTTTAAATGGAAATGTAGTTGTTGTTGTTGTTTTTAAATGGAAATGTAGTTGTTGTTTTTAAATGGAAATGTAGTTTTTTTGTTTTTTTTAATGCAGATTTTGGAATAACTTTTAAAATATATTAAGAATTTTTTTTTTTTTTTTTAAATCTTTAGTTTATTTTAAATTATTAATTCATTCAGTTCCCAGGCAAAGGACAAGGAACTCCTGCCATACAAACTTATTTCATCAAATTATGTCATCAGTGTATTTCAAAATGCCGAATAATAATTTATAAATTTTGAAACAAACAAGGATTCCCTTTGATACTTTTTTTTTTAATCAAAACCTGTACAAAAAAAAAAAATAAAAGCAAAAAAAAAAAAAAAAAAAAAAAAAAAAAAAANAGCTAAAATTTGCAGGTGACACTGAAATCATGTACACCAATTTGGAGCATAATTTG